TTTTCTTTGTTTTGATGCATTTGATCCAAGTGCATGCAGAGTCAGAGCCTAGTGAAAGTTGTACAAGTTATATCCTGTAACATCTCGTTGTTGGAGATGAGGGTCTGATTTTTAGGGTAGACTTCGGGAAAAATATAGGGAATTCGGAGATTATAGAACACTATGACAAGTTTTAGGATACATTGAAGTTTTATGGAAAATTATTCCCATCCCTGGGAAAATTCTTATATAAGAATAATAATACAAAATTTTCACTCACCCATTACTATTGTTACTTTCTTCTTGCATTTTCATACTTTTGGATAGACGTCACTGACCAAAATGACCACGTGATAGTAGTACCATTGGGGTATAATGTATTTCTGACGTCACACCTTCCTTAACATCATTCAGTTTCTTTCAATGCTTAATTTTGTCTTACATTACGAAAACTCGTAATATAGTCTCTCACAACATGCTATATTACGAGTTTTTGTAATTTAACTATATTACGAAAAATAGTAATATAAGAATAATATTACGATATTCTGTAATATTACGATTTTTCGTATTGGACTGGACTGTATAACGTTAAAGCTATTCAGAATATATGCCAGGTGTTCACATTTTTTTCTGTAATGTTTTAATATGTTGATGGTGCGACCATCAGGGTGAGTCCAGATACTTCTATTGTTTAATTTACATGATTTAGATTGGGACTGTCAAACCGCACTTGACATTTAGTGCGTCTAGACTCCAGGGATTTATCTAGCTATTTTGTTTTACTACCGTACGTTTTATATATGAAAGGGAAAAATGAGAGCTGCAGGCTCGATCTGAGCGCTGGAGATGCGATGCTAGGGGGGTTCGGGGGTATGCCCCCCGGAAAATTTTTAAATAAACGGGGCAAAATCCTGCATTTTTAGAGCTTCTGAGGGTCATTTCTAGACCTTTTCAAAGACCACAAAAACTTAACTTTTTAGACAAAATATGAAAAAAAAACAAAAATTAAAACCAGGTCAGTACTTTATTGAACTTTTTCTCTGAAAATCTATCACAAATCAATTCTCCTGTTTTTCATGTTTCACTTCTACAGTCTTCACCAAATCTTTTTCTCAGCTAGCTAGTACATGTCCTTAGGGCATTTGTACCCTCTAATTACACTAGCCCAAACAAATATTTACATGCCCAGAATTTTATTTAGTAATTTTATTCTTATTTGCCGTTTCACGCCAAGGAGACGATACAAAACCAATTTCTATCAATCTATTGTCTTGCCCTTAATACCGAATAATCCCTATTAACCGCCCCGGGCGCTTAGAAAATTGCGGAAAGGGGGCGGTTATTTTGATATTCTTGCTAAATTTTGAACGTCATAATATTTTAGCTTCAAGAAATCTTTTGAAAAAAAGAAAACAAATAACAGAGAACTATGGAAGGGAATTACCGCCAAAAGTCTATGTATCTTGCTTTTATTCTTATTCTGCCTACTTCTTTATGCTTTGTTATTATTGTAATTATATGTCACTTTATTGTTTTCGTATTCGTCTTTATTACATTACACTTGAGCTTTTATCGTTCTTTATTTTGTCCTTACTTCTATGTTGCTTTATTCTTGTGAATACATTCTACTTTCTTTTAATTTGATACTGTTTCTTAAATAAACTATCTTGATTATCTCGATTACGAACGTAAATTCAATCATGTATACAATGCCACCTAGCGTTATAATGCGGCACTAAATTCAATGAAGACGAATGCAAGTTGTTCGAATTTAGTGCCGCATTATAACGCTAGGTGGCAGGGTGTTCGCTATACGAGTGTTGGTAAAAATAGGTAAGCAAACCCGGGCCGGGGTTATTAAAGATTTTTCAATTTTCTGCCTTAATACTTTATCAATCGAACTTAAATTTTCAAATGATGTTTGTTATAAGTTCAGGTATGTACCCGATAATGCCATTTCCTCGGAAGATGGTAAGATTTTCCCTGGAAGACTGACTACATAGTGATGCTTCCTTCGGAAGACTATACAGTGAGACTCCCCCCGGGGAAGTTTCAATATATAGCTAGTCTTCCGTGGGAAATCTAGCTGTATATAGCAATTCGTCCCCCTTCATAGCAACCCCTCCCCCGAATATTTTTTTTTAATCGTAAAACAATGTTTATATGCTAACGTTTTCAGTTTTTGAAGAAAAGTTATCCGTCCTATATGAATAACTGTTTAAATGAAACCATTTTAATTGTGGTTAATAATTAAATCAGTTTAACCATTTAGTTTGACATAGATAATCTTCACGAGTACAAATGGATAATGAATTCCACCCCCCCCCCCGGTCCCGTGGATATGCCCCTCCCCCCGGGTGCAATCGCCCGCGTGGCACTGTGGTTACGGCGTCTGCCCCCCGGTTCCGACGCCTATGCATTGTAGTCAATTAATATATTAATAGTCATGTACTTAGTGGCATATGTACATATGAGTAATATTTGGTACTGAAAACAAGTTGACGACCCACCCCCCCCCCCCCCCCCCCACCACCACCACCAAATACAGAATTTTCAAGTTTTAAGATTTGTTCTAACTCTACTGGCTGATGTAAAATACGTTGCGTTCTAAAGATATTTTTTTCTTTATTAAAAAGTGCTATTTCAATGTAAAATATTAATGCATAAAAAAGACTGGGGAGTTTCTAGTATGCCTAAGGTGTTCCCTGGTTCCGACTTTGCCTACCCATAACACTCCTCACTCCTTTGCAAAGCCCCGTCCCTAGAATCACACGCATGAGCAATTACTATCTGTCGTGAAATAAAGTTCAGTTAAGTGGAACCAGTGACGGATTTAAGGAGGGGGCGCTCCCGGCGCCCCCCCCCCTTAAAATTGTCAAAGTAAACATAAATCACAGTTTCGTGTAGAAAATGTAAATATGCCTACTTGATAGACCTCATTTTTACTCTACAAAATCTCTAGAACCCAGGAGCTTCCGGGGGCTTCGCCTCCTGAGCCCCCACCAGGGCTTTGCCCTTGACCCACTGGGGGCATCAAGGCGGCCCCCAGACCCCTTGCCTACTTTTGGCGCCCCATCTAACTTCATTTCCTAGATCCACGCCTGGGAACGTCCTGAAAAACAACTCAATTTATAAATTTATAAAGGGGTATCTAGTATCAAAATATTTAACATTTTTATGTCAATTAAACTGTTATACTGGAATTCAATTATCCAACAAATAACTTTAGTAGAGTGATATTTTTCAGGCGAGAGAACAGTGACGTAGCATCGATTTTGAAAATTCAAGCTATCCGCTGAAAACAACTTGACAAGCAAAAAAAAAAAAAAAGGAAATTTCCAAACTTGAAAATACATAGGCGTCGATCGAAACCGGGGAGAGGGCTTAGCCCCCACTTTTTCCCAAAGTTAAACTTAGTATAGACATTGAACATTACTGCGTAGGTTTAGCCCCCCCCCCCCACTTTCCATGGACACGATGCAGTATAGGTTTAAAATGTGGAAAGTGGTGGTGTTTTGAAAAAAAAAAAAAATTGGCACTGTAATTTGACCCCCCCATCACCACCACACACACACAAAATATGATTTTTGTGTTTGGACAGTGGACATTTCTTTTTTTTTTTTTTTTTTTTTTGCTTGTCATGTTTTTTTTTTTTTTGAAGGTCTAAAAAATATTTCTTACGCTTAGCCCCCCCCCCCGGCCCCAACTTTCACTTTCACTTTGCTTCCGACGCCAATGAAATCATATTAAGGGGGCGGGGTGGGTTTTGGGTTAGATTCAACTTCTTCTATAGTATCAAATTTAAATGTACTATACTACATTAACCTTATTTGACCCTTACCCTTACTTAAAGTGGGTCGGACTTTTATTGAACATATTCAGTAAAGTACCGGTGTGTAAAGTTATGTCTGAAAAAAGAGGCCGCTATTCCTGTGTGCCCAGAGAAAATAAATATAATATGGAGTTTCCATCATTGGATCGGGTGATCGGATTCGGCCTTCAGATATTCGATTGATAAAGTATTAAGGCAGAAAATTGAAAAATCTTAAATAACCCCGGCCCGGGTTTGCTGACCTAGTTTTACCAACACTCGTAGCGAACACCCCTGCCACCTAGCGTTATAATGCGGCACTAAATTTTGACAACTTGTATTCGTCTTCATTGAATATGCTTCATTCTTTGTGTGATTGAATTCACGTTTGTAATTGAGATAATCATTTAAGAAACTGTATCAATTTAAAAGGAAGTAAAATGAATTAAAAAGAATAAAGCAACATAGAAGTAAGGGCAAAATGAAGAAGGATAAAAGTCAAAGTGAAATGTAATAAAGACGAATACGAAAACAATAAAGTGACATATAATTACAATAATAACAAGGCATAAAGAAGTAGGCAGAATAAGAATAAAAGCAAGATACATAGACTTTTGGCAGTAATTCCCTTCCATAGAGAACCACTAAAAATTGTCTAACCTTCCTTTAAATTACAATAACCATCCAAATTATGCTATATGACTCATTTTCCCAATTCAAAATTACGGAATAGACAAAAAAGAAGGAGAACAAATTTTGTACTTGTATGTTTAACTTTCACTTTCAGAAATACATGATTAGGTCGTTCTAAAAATCTTTTACTTTCAAGAATATTTTATATATGAGTTACCTAATAACAAAGTTTCATTTTCACTCTCTTCATTATGGCGGACTTTTGATACGATTCTGGATGATTTTGATCACTGTAAAGGGGGCCCTTATTTCCTGACAATTGAAAAAGACCCAGGGGGGCGCTTATAGGGGTAGGGGCGGTTAATAGGGATTATACGGTATTGTTTTTCATTCCTAGAATGAACTGTCTCTAAAATTTTCTCTTGTGCTTGAAACTGTTTAGATGAAAAATCAAAGACTTCTAAGTATATTTAATGTTACTGGTATTATTTAATTTGATAATACGGAGGCTTATGCCTCAAAATTTGCATGCCGTTAAGGCTTGTAAGTGTGCCTTTTCCACATGCAATGTTACCAGGTCCCGGACTTCGGGCTCCCAGGATTTGGTGAAGACTGCTACTAACATTGTTTTTGTTGTTACTCGATCCATTCTTCCGATTCATAGTGATATACTCATCTACACTTTTCTTTTTAACTCTGCAGTTGCATACGTATCTTTCGATATCATGGACATGGCACATGTTTACCGGTCAATATCAAATAGAAGTTTGAAAATATTCTTTATTCTAAAAGCGTTTGAATGACTAGGATGGTAAATTAGGATAAACTGTTAAACTTCAATCGGACAAAAACGGAAAATTTCAGAACGATATTTGAAATATTCTCCATTTAATTGGGAAAATTTTCATCTGAAAAAGGGGAATTTTGGCACATTTTTCAAGAGGGGAAAGGTACCGTTTACCGGTAGTAAAAACAGCATTGATAAATCCCTGGACTCTGACATCACATGACATGTATGGATGTTGCTTAATCAAAAAGAAGCCTGAACAGTGCTGACATTATATGAAGAATCTTTCATTTACTATTTATCGTAAATATATATCCATTAAATCAAGGCAAATTAATTTTTTGTTGATTCATCTGGGATGCATGTGTCAAGATTCACAGTGTAATAGCCCCTTGTTTCAAATTAAATGGGTGTTGCATCTTGAACGATTGAATAGAACTTGTTCTACTCCGTGCTTCAAGATGCATGGAATTGACCAATAAAAAGAAAGGTCAGAGTTGAGATGGAATCATAAGCCTTATTTTCCTCCATATGGTTGCAAAAATAGCTTCCCAAGATACACAAAAACAGAAAATACTGATTAAAACTACTATTAGAAAAACTAATTTGATTATTATTATATAGAGCAGTTTTTGTTTGTGGAATATATATAAATTATATCTTCCAAGAATTATCATAAAAAGGAAATTACGAATGATTTGTTCAGCTAAAATAAATCTGGAAATGAGATTTGAAGACAATGTTTTCCCTAAGAATCGGCAACAGGCCAAATTGACCACTTCAACTAACAAAAATGCCGCTTTAAAATAAAAATTTTTTTGTAAGGTCCACAGAGATTTTCTTCATAAAGCTCAGCCCCTAGCCTTTTACAACTGATTTCTTACCCTTTACTTTGAAATAAAGGGAAAACACTGGAAGATATTGTTAGTAGATAAATTACATCTTTACAAAGTATTTTAAAAATGCGTGTGTCAAAACACATAGTGTCAATAAGAAGATGCATGAGGCAAAATAGAAGCATGAGTTTAGATGCATGTGTCAAGATGCATAGTGTTAACCAGCCTTTAGGCTTATTACTATCAAATCACTAATTATTTGGGGGTTTGATTTACATTGTTTTCAAGGTTTGAAAAGATCCATTCATGACTCCACCAAATATAATTTTTCACAGATATCACTACTGAAAAATTCTTCAACCAAGAAATCAAAGCCCCATGAACCAGTATATTTTACTCAAACCACAAAAATTTGTCCCCTCAAAAATATGTGATTTTACAGTATTTAATAGAGCCATAGTTAGCAGGATTCCTCAGTTCACATCTTTCAGTTGCACATCTTTGTCACTATTATTACTATACTGTATTTACACATTCTCTTCAGATTCTTACTTGGGTTTGTATCATCACCACAAATGAAGCCGCTTCTCTGGGAGAAGGATGTATATCAAATGAAAACTGTACCGATAATGGAGCAATTTGTGAAGAATCATCAAAAAAATGTGTTTGTAACACAGGAGATGGATATGAGCAAGATGATGGAGCATGCAAACCAAGTATGTTTGACTGTGATGAAGAACTAGTATAACTGTTTAGGATTTTATAATGTATTGTTATGAATAGAATCAATTCATACTTCACTATATTTATCAAAATATCCTGAATGAAACTACTGAGTTTATTTCTAGCTCTACTGGTCAGAGACCAGAACAGCTTATGCGATAGTAATGCGTCCGTCGTCCGTCCGTCTGTCTGTCTGTCTAGCTGTCTGTAAACAATTTTTCAAAATGCTACTCCTCCTACAGTTTTGGTTCGATTTCAATATAACTTGGCACACAAGTAGACTACACTAAGATACATAATTCTGTGCATCGGTTTTTGATTTCGATGAATGGTGTTGCCATGGTTACTTAAGATAGAAATTTTTGTGAAATTTTTTCAAAATGCTACTCCTCCTACAGTTTTGGTCCGATTTCAGTATAACTTGACACACAAATAGACTACACTAAGATACATAATTCTGTGCATCGGTTTTTGATTTCGATGAATGGTGTTGCCATGGTTACTAAAAATAGAAATTTCTGTGAAATTCTTTCAAAATGCTACTCCTCTTACAGTTTTAGTCCGATTTCAATATAACTTGGCACACAAGTAGACTACACTAAGATACATAAATAACATAATTCTGTGCATCGGTTTTTGATTTCGATGAACGGTTACTAAAAATAGAAATTTCTGTGAAATTCTTTCAAAATGCTACTCCTCCTATAGTTTTAGTCCGATTTCAAATAACTTGGCACACAAGTAGACTACACTAAGATATATAATTATCTTGTATATCGATTTTTGATTTCGATGGACGGTGTTGCCGTGGTTACTAAAAGTAGAAAATTCTATGAAAATCTTTCAAAATGCTACTCCTTCTACAGTTTTAGTCCAATTTCAATATAACTTGGCACACAAGTAGACTATACTAAGATACTTAATTCTGTACATCGGTTTTTATTTTGATGAGTGGCAAGGATCATTTTTCTATTTATTGCTGTTTTAAAGTATCAAGTCCCAACTGCTAATTTTCTCTTCCTTTGTTTTATTAAGTATAAACCAGTAGAGCTACAGTCTCGACAGAGACTTCTGGTTGATATTAGAAACTTTTAATTTACAATGTTTCTCAAGTTGCCAAATAAGTTTTACCTCACCTGAGCTGAAAGCTCAAATGAACTTTTCTGATATTATTTTGTCTGAGTTCGTCTGTCTATCTGCCTGTATGTCCCTCAGTCTGTAAACTTTTCACATTTTTACCACGTCTTTATAACCATTTGCCCAATTTCAACCAAACTTATTGCAAAGCATCCTTAGGTGAAGGAAATTCAAAATTCTTCAAAAGAAGGGCCACATCCTTAAACAAGGGGAGATAATTAAGAAATAATGTAAATTTGGTGGCTTAACTTATAAGAAACTTTTTTTACTTAAAGTATAGATTCAAGTATGTTCAGAAAATGACCCCTGGGGTTAGCTGGTTGGCATCATAATGGGGAATAATTAAAGTTTTACAGGAGGAGTATGTATACAGGAATATATCTTGTAAAAAATCAAGAACAGCAAACTCATGATTTGTCATGTAAATATGTAGCATCCCCAGGTTGTGTAGATTCAAGTTTGTTCAAATCCTGGCCCTCTGGAATAGAGTTAGGCCAAAATGGGGAATCTCAGTTTTATATAGGAACATATAAAAGGAAAAAAATCTTCTTCAGAAAAACCATGTGTATACTGAATATAGTATCATCCTCAAGTAGTATAGATATGAACAGTAGTGAAGGAGAAAATTCAAGAGTACCATGCAACAATATACATGTATTCAAGAAGTGGTGTAAATCAGATGTGGATGCTTCCAAGGAACTTTTGGACAATTTGAAAGCACAAGCTTTTACCAAAATCAACAGCCTAAAGTAGACCAATACTCGCACTATGTCACTAATGAATAGTAAAACCAGGACCACACTTCTTATTTCCGAGATGTGATTTTTGAACTGTATTGGTTTGACTTTTACTTGGCGTTTTCAATTTTTGGTAACGATTTTGCTTTAAGTTGGTCTCTTCAAATGATGCTCACATATTTTATTATTTCAAACATTGCAATATTTATCTTGTCAATGAATAATGATTACATGCATCACCCCCTGTCCCCTGTTTGTGCTACTATTAGCAAGTCATTTCCTACCATCTGCCGATAGATAAGTTCATAAATGAATTAATACAATGAAATAAGTTCAGATTGTATTAATTATAATGATTCATATTGATTCATGTTTAAAGGTCCTATCACAGTGTCACTAACAGGACCAGACAGCAGTGTTAAATATGGATCATCCATAAATTTCACGGCAACAATTATAACTGGAGCAAGTGTGACTGCAGTAGCTTGGCAGAAGGTGGGGTCTGGTGGAAGTCTCTCAAACATAACCGTAAACTCTACAAAGTACACACAGACAGGTGACCCTGAGTCTGGTACAGTAGTACTTACCATCCACAACCTCAAGTACAGTGATGAAGCCAGTTATCAGATCCAGGTTAACAACAGCCATGGGGAGACTAATACCAGTAACCGAGTGTCACTGCACTTGTCCGGAGGTGATACATTATGAAATCAGACCCTATATAAATATACATTAAATTTGACACTTTATGAAAATGAAATTAACATTTTAATAAAATAGATCTAGATTTACACATTGGTCATGAAATGCTATAAATATAATTTGATTTACAGACCCACCCATCGTCAGTGTATCAGGACCTACCCAGTCTGGTGACAGTGTAATCATTGGATGTAATGCTACTATCACACCTGACTCTCCAGCCATCACAACTATTAAGTGGAAAAAAGATGGAAAGGATATAGACATAGCTAATTCTAATGGTAAATACTCTGGAGGAACTGTAGACAGCCCAGCACTAACCATCAATACAGTAGACAGCGGTGACGCAGGACTTTACCATTGTGTGGCCACTAATCCTACAGCATCCACTGCAAGTGACAATAATGTGAATCTCGGTAAGATTTATATAGAATTAACAGTATGTGGCACTCTATTTTGACGGACCTCGATGACTGAGTGTACATGTATTTTAAATCATTTTGCTTTGAGAGACTGAGACTGATCTGTGGTTGTTTGACAGAAACAGCAGTTGATATCTTGCTTTTCTAGGAAGTCAATATATCTATGGATTAACCTAATTAAATTAAGGGCTACATTTGTTATATTAATTTTTACATATATTAACAAACCACAATTTGAAAATAATGGGAACAAGGCACAAGTGTTCTCTCTTTAACTTCAGAGACTAGTGATCGAAATAAATTAAGCTCTTTAATGGGATTGTGTTTCCTTTGTATTGATGGAGTAATTTTAGAGGATTTACTTAATCAAAATACTACATTTATTTGTATCATTTCTCAGTTCTTATAACATGAAAAGATATCTTATAGTTGTAGTTAGAATTCAATAATTTCAATAATTTTTATTGACTGATACAATGAAAAGAAAAAAATCAGTTGGCAGATTGTAGTTATCAAAATTCTTGAAATATTTTTTGATAAAGTCTTCATTCATTTTTGAAATCCTCCTTGTTGAAGTCTAAACTGACGAGAATCAAAATTGCAAAAATATGACATAGATTCTGTGATTGCTCTATGTTATATAAAGTGACTTCTTTAGAGAGTTTAAGAACATCATTTATACCATTTAAAACTCATTGCAATAATTATGAATTACATTGTGTTGATTACTATTTTGATTAATTATAGCAAATTCATGTATGATATATCTTGAAAATAACGCAGTCAATTAGTTATCATGCTTGGGGTTGTAAGCTGTGAAATTCATGCTTGTAAGATAGATTATTTGCTCTTTCCTATTTGCATAACATTTTTGAACTTTTAAAATTACCAATTTCTTTACCATTGTATATTTTATAATAATATTATAAAAATATTTATATTTATCAATCAAAGAAAACTTTGAATTTCAAGCTGATGCAACTAAGTACCATTATTGCAAAGTTCTTCTACAATTATGTTTCAAAGTTTGTTAATATGGTTTTTATACGCCCGTCTTAAGACGGGACGTATTATGTTATAGGCTTCATGTCCGTCCGTCCGTCTGTCCGTCTGTCCGTCTGTCCATTCGTGTCCGGCTCATAACTTGAATACTATTAGACCTAGGATTATCAAACTTTGACAGTTGATACTTCTTGGGTAGACGGTGTGTCGCACACAAAAAGTAGGTCGCTGTGACCTTTAATAAAGATGCTATGGCCAAATATGGAAAAATCCTGTCCGGCTCATAACTAGAAAACTATTAGACCTAGAGCTTTCAAACTTGGCAAAATTATACATCTAAGGTAGAAGGTGTGTCGCGGCCTATTTCAAGGTCACTGTGACCTTAAATTTAAGTGAATTTTTTAAAAAAACTAAGTCTTTAAAATTTTAAATTTCATAATCCTAAAAAATGTAAAAATATAGTTGTATCCTTATTTAAAAATGTTAAATCAAGTAAAAACTTATTTTTTCATTATATACTTTACAGCAATCTGTAACAAATGTTAATGTTTTGAGAGGAATTCAGTTTGTCCCATGGGCATAATTATCAAACACTGGTCAAGAAGAATTTTGATAGCAGAAATTCGCATGTCAAATTAGAGAGAATTAATGAGTTTATTGTCAGGAACGAACTGGTAGTGCAGATCTCTTATAATGCAGCTGTTATCTTTATCTTTAATCTCTTGGGAGTTGGGCAAAAAGAATTGGCCTCATAGTTGCTTGTGTTAATTAAGAATTCTTGATGGCTAGTTCAGAAAAAGATCTTTCAATTGGTGTAATGTAATTGAAACAAATTGATGCTTTAAAATACAGTGTATAATAAAAACTAAATTAATATTGCATAATATAATTAAAACTAAGCCTTATTAAAAAATGTTAAATTAAGTAAAAACTTATTTTTTTCATCATTATAATATACTTTTACAGCAAACTGTAGCAAATGTTAATGTTTTGAGAGGAATTCAGTTTGTCCCATGGGCATAATTATCAAGCACTGGTTAAGAAAAATTTTGATAGCAGAAATTGCATGTCAAATTAGAGAGAAATTAATGAGTTTATTGTCAGGAGTTAACTGGTTGTCTAAAGAGCATCTCTGTTAATTCAGCTGTTATCTCTTGGGAGTTGGGCAAAAAGAAATGGCCTCATAGTTGCTTGTGTTAATTAAGAGTTCTTGATGGCAATAGCCCAGATAAAGATCTTTCAATTAGTGTAATGTAATTAAAACAAATTGATGTTTTAGTGTATGATTGAAAACTAAATTAGTATTGTATAATATAATTAAAACTAATTATACATGTGTTCATTGAAAAAAAATTACATTTCAATTTTTATATATTTGCAACAAATTGCAGTCATGTCTCACTTAGAATTTTATAGTCTAAAGAATAATGTATTTTTGATTTTTTTGTTAGACTGTAGCATTTCCATTATTCCAGAAAATTATGCAATTAACAATTTAAAGCTGCAGATGGATATTTGTTAAGTTCTAACATAGCCAGTTTAGAATTATATGATGTATTATTTGTTATAATTAATCCCTACACTGTAAGTCTCTTAGAGATGTATGATGATGTATATATGTACAATATTTTAAACATGATAAGAAATTGAAATTAGATCATTGAAATCTGTGTCAATCTGTTAATCAAGGTTATCTGATTTTTTTGCACCTTTACCAATTTATGATTATTGAACAATATATTTGACGGGCGTATCATGCTGTGGCGGGGCACTTTATTTTAGAACAAAATTATAACAATTATTTTATGAAGAAATCATCAGTCATCTTCCTTAGGAATACTAATTGACAGAAAGAGAAATCTGACTTTGATAAGTATTTTGGAATGAAGATATCTTAATAAGTATTTAATATAAATTTGAATAGATGTGCACTTCCCTTTTTTAGCTCCTCCCTCTGATGTCAAAGTCACAGGTACCACATCTGTAGTTCATAATTCCACAGCGACATTCAATGGGTCCTACACATCAGTGTTGCCATCTGTGACCATCAAATGGCAGAAACAAGGGACAGATAATAACTATAAAGACATTGACATTGGCTCATCAGATGGTAAATATGCAGGGAGCAACATTACTGGAACCAGTCCTAAACTCGTGATCAACTATGTAAAATTTACTGACAGGACATCATATAGGATGGTGGTTACTAATGGAGTGGGATCTACCAACAGTGACCAGATCACACTGGATGTAACTGGAGGTGAGTTACTATAGTATTCAGTTTGTATTATCTTGATGAAGTTCACTGGTAGTTCATTTCAACTTCTCTATTCCTCTTATAGGATCCACAGATTTTGAAAATTGTTGTGAATGTTTTGTGTAAATTTTTCTTATAAGAAATGCCATGCTTATGGAAGCAGTTTTACATGTACATACAAATCTGTTTTATTGAATTTCATGCTTTATTTTAAGTTTGTTTGATCCAGCTTTGTGATTATTCTTTTTAACTAAAAACAGCATGTTCTTCATTAATAATTAATTTAAATAAAAATGTAAAACAAATATTCAAACAGATAATTTGGATGTAATAACTGAAAAATCCTTTCAGCCAAACCAATAATAAACATCATCTCAATCAACCCAACTGTCTACGGACAGTCAGCAACAATCACAGCACATGTTGCTTCTGACCCCCCAGCAACAGGATATGTGTGGCAGAAGTCTGTCAATGACACACCAGAAAATATAACCTCTACTGACAAGTACAATTTAACAGGAAACATTACAGAGGGAAACTTTAGTGTTTCCTTAACTATTTATGATGTGAAGTTTTCTGACCAGGCTAATTACACACTGGTGGTAACAAATTCTGTGGGATCTCACACTAGTAATGCAGTTACATTGAATGTTACAGGAGGTTTGTTCAAATTGATAATTTTACTCACAGAAGTAACAATACTGATTAACTTGCATGAGAATCTTATTTCAAATGCAGATAACTGCATGCATACAATTTAACATGAATACTTTGCTATGTAGTAAGAAAATAAGCAAACAAGGTTAAATAATATGTAGATATTAATAAAATTGACTTATCTGTCTCTTTTGACTTGTTTGAGAGACTGTATGCATGTTGACAATGTATATACATTGAACCTAACATGTAAAGGTCTTGATTCAAAAGCATAGGAGATAACTCTTAGATTACAAGTTATGACTCAAGATTTATTCTACAAGTTCAAGTTAATTTAAATCGTAGAAGTGATTCTTCTATAGAATAAATTTCTTTTCAAATGTTCCCCCTTTTTTAGTTCTCATGAAGTGCATTTCACTGCTACTGCTTTCATTTAAAATGGTTTATTTGAATTCATAAACACTTTTGATCTCCTAAAGATCTTCTTCTTTGGCAATAAATATGAAATCCATAAAAAACTAACATTTTACAGTTTAACTTTTAATCTAACATTTGTATTGAAAATAAACATGAATAAAAAAAACTAAATTTTAAACACAATAAGCATGAATGGATTAGTTGGGAAAAGAAATAGCTGTGATATTAACTCAATTTGTTTTTTTTTTTTTTTGTTTATTTTGTTTTGTTTTTTTTTGAATTTCTAATAAGAAACTGAAACTTTATGTGCATTACATTTGATTAGTCTCTGAGAGAATTAAAACAAAATGATTTATAGATTATCTTATAAGGCCAGAGGCATGCTGGAATTGGGTTTTGTGATTAAAGTTTGTCCTCATGTAAATGCACGCACATTTTTTTATGGTATATAGGTATAGCTAGGTATTTTGTTTAATTTGTCAAATGATATTGTTGGCCACATAGATCTGAATAAGATTGTGAAGAAAGTCATATATATGAACATGGGTATATACCCACAAACATACAATAAAAATACATGTACATTCAAACATTATACTTTATATACACACAAGGGTTTTCTATATATAGACTGAGTTTGTGGACTGTGAATGGCATTATTGTCAAACTGAATGGCCCCAGATAATTTTCTTATAACAACAAACATAAATTTAAGTAAACTTTTATGCATAGCAATATGATCTATTACTGAAATGTTTATTCAAAGCAAAAATGAAATATATTTCTTGTTTGTAGGAGAATTTTTTGTAGGAGCAACTAGAGGCTTTTGTGAAATCAACTCTATGACAAACAATTATCTAATATGTCTTTGCTAGTTGTAAGCTATTATAATGCTTGAAAATTAATGAAATCTAATTAGATAATGTATTTATTAACTTTTACAATAAATTTTAACATAACAAATGATATTAACCCACAAATGATATATATTTATCATGCTTATTTTCTAGCTGTTCTGGTTAACATGGTTAAAGACCAGAATAGTGTTTTGTGCAAATGGTAAAGTGTCATGACTAAAAATAAGATGTTCTATATAATATACTATGTTCAGTTAAACATGGTACAGGCACTCTTGAAAAATTCATTTAGCAGAGGTATAAACAAGAATGTGCCTTTTCCAAAATTAAAGCGGGATGTCTCAAAAGGATTCAACTTTCATTATATAACAACTGCATGATCGCAAAATCACAATTATTATACCCCCCGCAAACAAAGTTGGGGGGGGGGTATATAGGAATCACCTTGTCCATCTGTTTGTCTGTCTGTGCAATCGTGTCCGGTCCATATCTTTCTTCCAGAGGGATTAGAATCTACTACTCCACACTAAGATTGCTCATGACCTAAGGGTGTGTCATGACCTTGACCCAAGGTCATTTGGGGAAGTTCAAGGTCATTGGAAGACAAATTTCATAATTCGTGTCCAGTCCATATCTTTCTTATTGATAAACTTGGTAGGTTCTCATTTCACACAAAGATTGCCCATGACCCAAGGGTGTGTCATGACCTTGACCCAAGGTCCAAGGTCATTTGGGGAAGTTCAAGGTCACTGGAAGAAAAATTTCAAAATTTGTGTTTGATACATATCTTTTATGGATAAACTTGGTAGGTTCTCATTTCACACAAAGATTGCCCATGACCCAAGGGTGTGTCATGACCTTGACCCAAAGTCATTTGGGGAAGTTCAAGGTCACTGGAAGAAAAATTTCATAATTTGTGTCCGGTCCATATCTTTCTTATGGATAAACTTGGTAGGTTTTCATTTCACACAAAGATTGCCCATGACCCAAGGGTGTGTCATGACCTTGACCCAAGGTCATTTGGGGAAGTTCAAGGTCACTGGAAGAAAAATTTAATAATTCGTGTGTGATACATATCTTTATTATGCAAAAACTTACTTCTGAAAAAACCAGCGGGGGGTATTTTGTCCCGTTTGGACAGTTCTAGTTAATTATGTTAATGAGACACTAAATTATAGGTGATGATAATGGAAAGTGATCATGGTGATCGATCAAAAACAATCGACAAACAATACAAGTCTGTGAATTCAGTGTACTGTGTAATTAATTCCAGAAGATTAATGTCTCTATATCAGATGTTTAATTTTTCAATTATCTAATTAAGGTGATTTGACTGTAACCACGGGCCCTGATGTCACTGGTAGATATGGAGGAAGTGTAACCATTTCATGTACTGTAGAAGGTCCAGAGGTGAACAAAATACTGTGGAAAAAATACAGTGGTAATACTCCTGTCAAAGACATCCCCACAAATGGTTCAAAATACACAGGAGGGACAGTATCCACTCCAGCTCTAACTATAAACAGCCTGACTGATGATGATATGGGACAATATCAGTGTACAGCTAGTAATCCTGGTGGACCTTATTCTAGTAATAGTAAAGCCACAGTCACTTTAAATTGTAAGTACAGATATCCAGGCTGATTTATAATTTTTTAAATGATATATGGTGATCATGGTATCGTATAATTATTATTGATTTTTATACGCCCGTCTTAAGACGGGACGTATTATGTTATAGGCTTCGTGTCCGTCCGTCTGTCCGTCTGTCTGTTAGCTTTTTCGTTTCCGGCTCATAACTTTAATACTACTAGGCCTAGGATTATCAAACTTTGTCATCTGATGCATCTTGGGTAGAAGGTGTGTCGCGCACAAAAAGTAGGTCGCTCTGACCTTTATTTAAGAAGTTATAGCCAAATATGGAAAAATCCTTTCCGGCCCATAACTAGAAAACCATAAGACCTACAATCATCAAACTTGGCCAGTTTATGCATCTTAGGTAGAAGGTGTGTCGCGACCTATTTCAAGGTCACTGTGACCTTTAATTTAAGTGAATTTTTTTTAAAAAATGTGTCTTTTTACTATTCATTTACACATCCCAAATAATGTAAGAGTATTGCACTGTTCTTATTAAAAAAGTGTTAAATCAAGAAAATACTTATTTTTTTTAAGCATATACTTGACAGCAATCTATAACAAATATAATGTATGTCAGAGAAATTCTGCCTCTCCCATGAGTGTAATTATCAAGCACTGGTCAAGAAGAATTTTGATAACAGAAAATTGCATGTCAAATTAGAGAGAAATTAATGGGTTTTGAGTGCGAGGAGCTAGCATTGGTGTTATCTATATCCCTTGAGTATTGGGCAAATGGGTAAGCCTGTTTGATTAAAAATAGCTCTTGTTGACTAGCTTAAGTTTTAAAATGAATTTGATGAAAAGTAATTAAAACTAATTTGATATTGCATAATAGACTAATCTGATATTATGTAATATTATTAATTTAAAAACTAATTTTTTGGGGTGGGGTGGAATCAGCATGTCCATATGAATTACATATTAAAACCTGTCGGACATTAAATCTCAACCAAAAAAAATCTTTGAGTATTTTATTAAATTTATAGTAGATAGTGCAGACCCATTCATCTCTTGGTAGTAATGAGTAGACAAGCATCCAGTTAAAGATTAATTAATGAGTTCAATGTAGGAAGGCTAGCTGTCTCAGTTGCTCTGATTAAGCAGTGACCTTATCTGTACCCTTTGGGGATTAGACAGAAGAACTGCTGGTCAGTTTATAACATATGTCATTTGATGGCCAGCCTTTTCTTTTCAAAATTAATTTGGTATAGATTAAGTTGTTAAGACTAATTTGATGATGTGCATTTGACAAGGTCTAACACAACCAGCACAGAAATCTATCAGTGATGTAATATTTATTATAATTGATGCCTACATCACAGGGGATGGATAAATATTTTAAGGAATGGAAAAACCATCGAAATCTTAGAATCAAGGTTGATGTGATTTTCTTACACCTAAACTGTTCAAGAAAATTGTAATTTTCTGATGGGCATATCATGCTGTGGCGCGGCACTTTATTTTGTTTATATAGCTAGTCAAGTACCCATTATAAAAATAACTATGTGGATGAGCAGAAAGCATTGAGGTTTATACATTTAATTTGTCCAGTGTTTCTCTTTTGCAGTACTTTTGAATTCTTAAGTATACTAACAAATATTAATGTATACAATGAAGAGCATTGCAGTGGTAAAATTTTTCATTTGAATGGAAAGTTTGGGTATTTCTTTTCGAAGTTTATTTGTAACATAATGACATGCCCATTTATTTAGAAATGAGAAAGAAATATTCGTCATGATACTATTAAACACCCCACTCTTTGCAACTAGCAACATGAGTTACACTGAAATGGAGATTTTAAAAGTTAGAAGAGACAGCGAGAGAGTCCCCGCCTTTGTAAAACATGTTCTGCAACAAATTTGTACATTATTATGAATTTATCATTGTTTATTGGAGTTGCCATAACACGTGTATTGGTCGAACACATGCTTAATATTTGTTGTTTACATAGACCGTCAATTTGATTGGCTCTTATATTTATTGAATACCTGTTCTACAGGTTCTCGAATGAACCACTTGACTAATTTTTAGCTCACCTCAGTGAAGTCGAGTTGAGCTTATGCTTTACCCCTGGCGTTGGCGTTGGCATCCCGGTTAAAGTTTTAGGAGCAGGTTCATTCCGAAGTAACTATAAGCCCTACCTGGACCAAACTTGCATGGATGATGCATCAAGGGATGGACAGTCCCAGACTTGCTTGGGATTCTGGATCTGACCTAATTTTTCCAGATGAGTGACCAGGTTAATGTTTTTGGAGCAGGTCCATTCCCAAGTAACTATAAGCCCTCTAACTATAAGACTTGCTTCAGATGCTGGATCTGACCTATATTTTCCAGATGAGTGACTAGGTTATTCCCAAGTAACTATAAGCTCTACCTAGACCAAACTTGCATGGATGATGCATCTAAGGATGAACATTCAAAACTTGGTACAGATGCTGGATCTGACCTACATTTTCAAAACGAGTTACCAGGTTAAAGTTTTTGTAACAGATCAATCCTCAAAGAACTTTAAGACCTATTTAAACAGAACTTAATGAATATTGTTGTCAGAATAAATACTAACTGTTTAGAAAATATGATTTGAGATTTGCATTACTTAGACTGATTACATTCATCGAGGTGAGGTTCATGATCTTGGATTACCTATGTTTTTCCTTTTTAAAGAAATGGGCTTGTAACTGTATGACAATTTACGTTCTAAAGATAGCTCAAAACATACCATTCAAACGGAAAATTGAACCACTCTAGTGCACTTCATTGTATCTATATCTACTAGCCTTTTCATGCATTTTTAAAGTATCTAAGATAATCATTTCCACTTATGCATTGATGTTAGAAATAAGATTTCATTTAACAGTGCACATTTAAATTTATGAATTAGAATGAAGATTTATAATTAAAATAAGATGAAAAAAGATCAGATAACTATAACTAATAGTTAGATTTTGTGTACATGTTGTGTAATTTATGTGAACAATACATGCATTTTTAATTTGTCATCACTTGTTTATAGACGGACAGTTCAATGAGGATTGTACTACAACAGAACCATGCAATGCTTCTAGTAATTTAATATGTCTCAATGGCAAATGTCTTTGTAACACAACATACTACCACAGGAATAATACATGCTATCTGAGTAAGTTATACTTCAAAATGTTTGAGCTAATATTCTATTAAGCATGATGAAGACCAAAAAATGTGGATAAAAATAGCAAAGGGCAAGACAAGAATTGCCCCCTTTTTGGCCATTGGTTTGAAATCTTATGATCATTTTACTGGTATAGAGTTTGTCATGTTTGTCTTTCATCCTTCTGTCTTTTTGTCTTTCTGTCATCCTTTGCATTTGCTCATTTCAAAACTCATAGAATAATCCAATACTGTGGTTTCATCAATATTCGTTGAGCACCAATTTTCGAGGATTTTGTTGTTGAGCAGATCCACGAATTCAAATGTTCATTGAATTAAGAAATATGATATTCATTTGTATAGACAATGCTTTTGTCCACGAAATTACATATCCTCGAAAACGCTGTTTTACAAAATCCACGAAAATTGATGCCAAAGAAAATTGATGAAACCACAGTACTTTACAAAACTTTAAAAAATTTTGTCATCCTCTAAAAATATTAGAAATGATTATAAATGATTGATGGATATACCAAGTACAGAGGTCATAAGAAAGTCACAAAATTTCTAAATGTGAATTTTTGTCATTTTTAAAATTCACTTTCACAGCACACTTTGATTCAGAAAATTAAGAGCATTAGCTTGCTATCAAACAAATTTATAGGCCTTCAGAGATGTAAGAAAGGCAAGCATATCACTACATTTCTAGAAGTGAAACAAAGCTTTAAAAAACACCATCAGTATTGATGAAACTGAAAATGTTTCATTTTTTTTATCACCTTAAGGTCAGACGATACATTCCCCAAACATCTGTTTAATATATCTTCATAATATATGAAAAATATACAAAATTTTCATTACTTTCTGATTTCTTAACCGGTTTCTAATTGATTTTAAAAATTTGAAACACTAAAAATGTGATTTTAACAAACTAAGTTTTTTGCCCTAAAGGATTATTTAAGAAATGCTACCCTGTGGTATCTCACACAAATGCCTGGTAAGGTACCTCAATTTTTTGTGAGTAAACATGTTATAGTATTAATTCTTCAATGACAAAATCTTGGAAAAATTATATATTATTTAGGAACGTCTCGTCTGTCCTTAAGCTTTTCATGGCCTATACTATTCAAATTAAAATTTCTTTCAAGAGAATTATCATTTACACTTCTAAATTGCAAATTATCACAAAATTTCAAATGTTACTTGATATTTAGAAGGACTAAGGAAAATGAGGGTCCTAAATTGGCCTTCATCATACTTTATGAACATATCATTCTTCGTTATCAGGATCTGGTCTAGCTCCCTCTATAAGCTTCATCAACAGTACAACAACACAGTTCTCTGTCTTCTGGAGTCATCCCTCTGTGGATTACGACCTTGTCATCAGTTATAATGTCTCCTGGAGACAGAATGGTGGTTCTACATCTGGACAGAAAACAGTGGAGAGGGGGAAGAATACCACCACTGTCAACTCAGACCTAATGTCTGGTCAGCGGTACATTGTCACTGTTTCTGCTGTTGTCAGGCTAACAGATCCAGAGGAAACCATTACTATAGACTCATATGAGAAAGAAGAGAGATTAGGTTTGTTGATATTATTTCATTGAATATATAAATATCCTATATATATATATATAACTCTTACCATTTTAACTACAGTATTTTTGCTCAACTCATTGAAGTTGAAGCTTATGTGATACCCTCAGCTTCGGCATCCAAGGTTATGTTTTGGGTGAAGTTTTCTCTTTAAGTGTTTCTAGGCCCTATATTGATCAGAGCTTCTAGTGTGTTTCACTGTACCAGATAAGGTTTCAAATGTTGCAATTTCTGCAAAGAAATGTTTTGGAGCAAGTTAAAGTTTCTGGTGCAGGTTAAAGTTTGTGATGAAGGTCTCATATCCAAGTAACTATAAGCCCTTTGTTGACTAAACTTGGATGGATGTTACATCTAAGGATTCACACTACCAGGCTTGCTTTGGATGCTGGACCTGACCTACATTTTTTAGATGAATGAACAGAGCAAGGTTTATTGCTATTACTCAGATGCTGAATTTGAATTACATTTTGTGGATGAGTGACTAGTTTAAATTTTTAGGATAATTAAGTCTGTTTCCAAGTAACTGCAATCCCTATAAGATCAAAACTACATTAATAGATTATTAGTTTAATATGGGACTTTGTCTTACTTAAGACAACATTAATTGAGATGAGCGATGTAATTTCTGATTACCTATGTTTTTTTCAGATCCACGTCCACCTGGTTCTATATTACACAGTGAAAGTTCTTTTGCTCACAACAACCTCACCTTGAAGTGGACTTCTCCATCCAAAACCTTCGTCACCAGCTATGACGTGATGATTGATGGTGAAAGCCAATCTACTGGAAATAATAATCCATGGCTCCATTTCACAATGAAATCATTAACTCCTGGGAAATACTATGTTGTCAGTATCGTGACAATCAGTGGTACATCAAATGAACCAACTGGTGAAAAGAGGAGTACAGCATACACAGAGACAATTAGAATTACCCCAACAAGTAAGAAGTGGATTTTTTTTTCTGTGAATAAATCTGAGAAGTCTTTGTCTGCTATCCACCTGTTTTCTTTTTTCATTTTCAATCATTTTCAACCAATAGTTTATAAATATTTATTATTACAAACCACTTTTGAGCTTGATAATTTGGGTGGAAACACAGTTTAATGGATGTATTATACACAGTAATATTTTTAAATTGTCCTTGCAGTTATCTTGTCTTTTTTGGAATTTTTTTTTTATTTTAAATCTTTTTGGAAATAATGATTGTATTGAAAAATTAGGCATGATAACGTCTAAAAAAAATTTTGTCAAGTATATTTTTACTTTCTGCACACATAGTTTGATTAAAAATCAAATCAAAATATTGGGGTCAATTTGCTTCTTTTGGCGCTGCAGTAAAAATATTACCTTTTTGCACTGAAATCTGTCTCTTAATAAGAAATTACGTCTTCAACCTTTTCCCTTCAATATTTTTATCCATTTTGCAAATAAAGCATGGAACAAAATAAACTATAAGTCTATTTTTAAAAAGACACTTTAAAATTATTTGATTTTTAAAAAAATTATTTGACCTTTCTGCACTCATAAAATGTGATTTTTCTGGCATTGAGAATTTAATAAGCAAGAAATTTATTTTAAAGTATTAAACTTTTGCAGAATTTAAGCAGATAGGTCAAACTTATCTTAAATATTCAGAAAAGAACATCAAAAGTGGGTGATTTTTAGATACTACAAAAAATGTGCCAATTTTATGTTAAAGTTGGCTCAAATTTTTCCTAGACTTTCAGAATATATTTACTATATTTGTCATAATCGTCAAAAGAATTCATAAAAAATAATTTTATAGATATTTCAGAACAAGCATGACACATTTCAGTGCAAAAACAGCTTTGTGTGCAACTAGCATGGAAAATTAGGAATCTAAAATTAACAGTACTGTATATTGTTCAAAATGGAAGTATGAATAATTTTCTTCTAAAAATCCTTCTGCCACAAAATTTAGTTCCTGGCTTAATCCTACCTGAATGGAATTTAATTGCAATTTTTGCAATGGATTTAGTTTAATTTGCATTGTAGAATCTAAATTCAATGTTAAAACTTAAAAATGATGTAGAATATTAGAAATAAAGATCCAGACCAAAATCGACTCAAAAGCACAGGATTGAATGCCCTTAAATATTACAATAAAACTTGTATAACCTGGCGACCAGTTGTTTCAAAAATTTTTAACTGAAACCTTTATGATCAATTAGACTAAAAGCAGAAGAAAGACTTTTAAGTACAATCCAATGTACAATTTTAATCATTATTGTACAGGATGATAATTATATAATTTTGATTCAATCAAAGCTGATAAGTAGTTCTTCCATCGCAAATATGAACAACAGAAGATTATTAATGGTTTTTTTTTTTGTCATTGAAAAAGTTATAGGGGACCCTCGATCTCTCAAAGCTCAAGGGACCGCAATATGAAAAATAGCAGGGATAAGGTGATATTGGGTTTGACCCATGGGCCTCTTAAGCTTGCTCATCATGTAATTCTTCATTTCCTTCTATAATATGCTTCTTTTTCTGTTTTTTTTAGAGCCAGGACCACCTACCAATATTAAATGTCCACAGAGTCCAATGGATACCTCTTTAATAATATCATGGACTGCTCCCTCCAATCCTAATGGACAAATTGTGATGTATCAGATTTCTGTGAACCCTGGAAACATCATTAAAACTGTAGATAATTCCAGTACTTACAATGTTATGGAATTAAACCCAGGTACATGTATTTGTATACTTTCAGAAGCATTATGAACCATTTATATTTATAGTTTACCTTAGCAAAGGCTCAATAAAGCTCTTCTGATGATATTTTGTCAGGCAGGGAATGCTCCAAGGTTTGTCCAAATCATACTCACTAATATAGTATGAAGGGAGTCTCATTATCATAATATTACCTGTAGATTCAACTTCAAAAGCAGTTATATAAAAACATTCGTAATGATATTGATAATCTTGAAGTGCCAAATTATTCCTAAAAAGAATCAACACTTTCAATTGGTATCTGTTGTATCATCTTTTAACAAGGAACTGACTGATTAGTTGTATTCTCCATCACATCAATATCATATGATGTTTTTTATATTGTAGAACAACAGTATTCTTTTATTGTTTGGACTATAAATGATGCAGATGAAGCAATAAGACGTAGTGATGCTAGCCAACCTGTTATTTGTAAAACACTGGCAGGAGGTAAAGTGCAAGTAAAATTCATTAAAAAACAACATCAGTGCATTTATATGTAACTCCTCTGAGCCAAAAGCTCAAAGAGCTAATGCTATGACCATTTGTGGAGTGAGTGGTGTGTTTACATGGTGTGCAGTTTGCGTAACCTTTTTAGGATATGGTCAATATTTCAAGAACCCTTTGACTAATTGTTTAGCACACCTCAACGTTAGTGAGCTTTTCTGATTGAAATTTATCAGTTGTTTGTCTGTTGTCATTGTAAACTTTTCACACTCTAAACATGCCTTTATCTTACACTTGTCATGAATACTAAGTATCTTCCTTTTACAATTACAAGAATTATTGTTATGAAGGAAAAATTTAGGAATCAATAGCGTTGTAATTCACATATAATATACAATTATGGACTGTTTAGAAGGGAGACATCACCAATTACTGTAGAAGTACTTTTTTCCGCGTGGTATTAATTTCTGCTATGTACGCGGCCACAACCTTTCCGTGGAAATTTGTACTAGCATACTTAATATAAATGTAAGGCATATAGTGACAGTCTAAGAAATCCGCGTAATTTTCTACCCGCGGATTAAACGGAAATTGAGATTCCGCGAAATTATGACCCCGCGGAAAAAAGTACGTCTACAGTATCAGGTCTGAGTAGGGTTGTTACCTGAGGGCGCTTGTGCCCGAGGGTGAAAACCCTACTCAGACCTGATAATTAGTGATGTCTCCCATCTAAACAGTCCATAATAGTTTTATTATCCTGAAGTATTTAAATTATTAGATAAAGTAGAAAATAGTAATCAAACCTCTTGTTTTCTTCTACTCTGCTCCGATTCCATACTTTCAAAATATGTCAACAGACAACTTTGACTTCGTCGTTAGAATTTATTGTTTACGGATCCCGCATATTTAGCAATGGTGCTTATAAATAGGAGTTATCTTGAAAAAATTGAATTCATTTGTATAATGTGTGAAAGTTAGTGCAAGATTTGTACATTAACAATTACGCCAACTTAACGCTACCTACATCTATTATGACGTCACAATGAACTTTATGCTTTTGACGTTACCAGGTAACCTACCTGACATTTGTATAACTGCCTGAAGAGCCGAACATGGCGAAAGCGCTTGCAGTAAATGTTTTGTGATATTTTTGGATTTTTACTTTTATATATATATATATATATATATATATATATATATATATATATATATATATATATATTTTTTTTTTTTTTTTTACAATAAACTTGATCTCTGTAAAATTCTGTACCAGAGTTTTTTTACTGTACCAGAGTTTGCAATACCTGTATGAATTTCAAATACCGGTAATCTTATTTTTGGAGACAGCAAAAGCCATAGAATTATGTTTTCTAAAATTATATACCAATTTTAGGGATTAAAAATTCTGTTTTTTATCATAAATCAGTGTTTTGAATCTACATATACTTCTTTGTAATGTTTCATATAGCCTGATGCACATGTGTTTCTATATTGTAGTTTCTACACCTCCAACCAATCTTACTGTTCATGAAGTTCAAAGCAGAGACTTTCGAATTAGTTTTGGAAGCCCTAAAAATGTCAGTGGTCTTTTATCTGGCTACAAAATTGTCATTTTTAAAGGACTTATCTGCGTGAAGCAAATATTACTCAGTGGAACAGATGATTGTCCCCAATGTGTGGTAAGACACAGAGAATCAGCCATGAAATGATTAGTCATTCATTGCATTAATTTTTCTGTATCCTTGCATTTGTAATATATATCACTCATGAATAAGGCTGAGTATCATACGCAAAAGAAATATCATGATAAATTGACAATATGGGAATAACTTCTAATTTTGTATTTGCAACCGTTAATGCTGATTTAACGGTCGCAAACTGAGTTTTACCGGCGACGCTTAAGCGGAGTCAGTAAAACGGATATTTCCAACCGTTAAATAAGCATTAACGGTCACAAATACTAAATTAGAAGATCATTTATTCCCATTCTAATGCAATTCATGCATTTTGTCTGTTGTTTACATCTAATTTTGTTATATAAAATATGTCATGGAGCATTGTGTTTTTGTGTCGCTCAAAAATTATGACGTCACAATGAAAAGCTTTCTTTCACGTTAATGCTCGTTTTACTGCTTCAAACAGTGCATTAGCCAATCAAAAGGTGTTTTACAAAAAAATTGCATTAGAATTGTTAATTAACCTGCATATCATGGCACAAATTTTTTTATTCACATGTTTTAATAAAAATGACTGTTATCACTGATACAGAAATATAACGTGGATTCTTCAGTCTACAAAAAGAACCTGATTACAAGTACCTCTGTCAGTACCTCTGGGGTGCAACTTTTTGTAATAAATGTAATATTTTTGTGACATTCACAAAGTATTACAATGGAAAAATCTAAAATACTACCTAAAACTATCCTTTTATAAAAAATCAGGGTTAGAGTTAGGGTTAGATACTGAAAGAACTAGTCCCTGGTAGTCCAATCCTCAAGCATCTGTGGAATTACATCAAGATTTTAAAATCAAACAGAATTCAATGATACCAATAAATGATAGAGAAAAAAAATAGATCCCCTCATGAAACATCATAAGCAAAGATTAGTCATATTGATATTGAAGCATCCACAGGTAATGTAGATCCTACTTTTTTTCAAATTTTGACCCCTCTGTGGTAGGTTAGCAGGCCTTAAGGGGGGAACAAAGCTTTAAAAGGAATGTATAGGAAAAATCTTTAAAATATCTTCTCAAGAACAATAAGGCCATAGAAAGTTATCAATATGGAAGCATCCTCAGGTAATGTACGTTAGATTTAAGTTTGTTCAAATTATGACCCCAGGGTCAGGATGGGGCTGAAAAGGGGTTGGTGGGTGGGTCAAAGATAAACATAGGAATGTATTGAAAATCTTTGAAAGTCTTCCTCTGAAGACCAGAGAGGTATGATTAGTCATATTGACATTGAAACATCCTCACAGAGTGCAGATTCAAGTTTGTTCAATTCATGATATCTTAAATGTTATGTCAAGAAAGAAAAAGTTTTCAATAGGAATGTATGGGGAAACATATGTTACTAACAGATGAAAATAACAGGGCCATATAGTGACCAAAGAATTTGTGCAGTACAGTTAAGGTGACAGATGGAAATATCGGTGAATTTCTCAGGAAAAAAACTACATTTTTTATTAATTTATAAGGATGGGCATTTCTTTTTTGAACTGTAATATAATGGTTCAAATCTAAGGGGTGTTAGAAAATTTGTTCCATGGTGAAATACCCGCGGTATTTTCACAAATTTCAAAGTACATTTAGTGCTTAACTAAAGGGATGAATTGTAAAGTCTGACAAAATCACAATAGTGTGCTTTAGTTTTTTAGCAATTCATTTGTAGCAGGAATTCATGGGATTTTTCTTCCATATGAAAAAAAGATATAAAACATCTTTAAAGCACCCGAATGACAGAAATGTTTGTCATTTTGAATGAAAGTATACCAGTAGGATAATTTACTTTGGTTTCTTCAAAGCTTATCTTGCATCAAATATCTGATGAGCATAGGTATAAGAATGATAAATCACTCTTCAACAGAACAGGTTTGTCATGATTTTAAAATTGTTCACTGGCTTCATAATTTTTGCAAAGTATTTGAAAGGATGTTTTGATCTGTGTGTTTAATCATGTTAATATATGTCAAAAATATATGTCATCCATATTTTTCTACACAGACATCATCTGGTTTAATACCTGCCCTCTCATTATTGATTCAACAAAACACAAATTAAGACCTTATCAGTTGCAAGAATGGACTCTGTGAACATGAAATATCACAAATTGTAAATATCTTCTCGTCATATTTCTTTTCAAAATTAAAAACAAAATGTGGAATGAACTTTTTTAACACCCTCTACATGTTGCAAGTGATATCAGATTCACATAGTTTTTGCAAATTAACTTGCAGTGTTGAGATCAACTATATATTCCAATTTTTCAAAGGCATAACCAAGTCAAAACTCTAAATTTGATTTATAGTTAGAGATCTGTTCAACATTACCAAACAGTATAAATTAGACCCAGCCTACTTATTGTAGCCTTAAATGTGCTGCATGTGAATTAATGTCATGTCTTCCAAACAATCATTACTTGCTAACTATCATATTCTTTTTATATTTCAAGCAAACAAATGGTTGTCCACCATCTGAAAATAGCACCATTGATCTCAGTCAACCAGTGATTTATAACATTTCTGGTTTAGACCCATACACTAGTTATCTTGTTAGAGTGGCAGCAATTAATGGACAGGGAGAGGGGTATCCTTATAATGTGACTGTTAAAACAGAGGAAGAAGGTAAGCATGGATTTTCTAGATATAGATATGTAACTTTTCCTATCCTTTAGGTGCCTCAATTTGACAAGAGTCAAAATGAGCTTCTGCAATATCATGTGCATCAGAGTCTATATTGGCATCCTAGTTCAAGTTTTAGGTGCTAGTTCATTCCCAAGTAACTAAAACCTCTCCATGCAGTAAAATAGATTACTGTATACAGGGTTATTTTCGCCCCGTCTTATTTTCGCCCTTTCACACTTACAAAACAATTTTACCCCGTTTTAAATTTGCCCAGTCACAGTTTGGTTTAAGAAGTTATACTGTATTCTTTGAATTCACGACACCCTGTTTTAAATTCGCCCAAATGATAGTAGGATGAAAGGGGCGAAAATTAAACGGGGGCGAAAATTTCCCTGTATACAGTAATAGTTCAAACACACATAATCATATCAGATTTGTAAATTCATGTCTCATGAAACTAGTCTAGAATTATTAAGGGTGGCATTAAATTTCCTAAGTTTAAGAATCAATATATCAAAAACAAATTTTGTCATCACCCACACAAAAGAACATGTTTTTTTTTAATTACTGTGGAGTCATTTTAAGTCATGGGGACAATGTTCGTGGGTACACAAAATTTTACCTGTTTGTGGGGACGTAATTTCATGGGTTACTTATAAATACGATGTTTCTATTAATCAATATATTGACTAGATAAACTTTCATGGAGGTGTAAATTTGTGAGTAAGGATGACTCACTAAATCCAACAACATTGGTCCCTAAAGAACAATGATGATTCTATAGTATTTCCTCAATGGAAAAAAGAAATTTTAATCAAATATAGTGTAAAAATATGCCTTTGAAAACAATCCCCAGAAATTTTGCAACAAGGAAATATTTCTAAAACTTCAAATTATATTGAATTGCAAATGTTGTATTTCCCCCAGTTTGCACCTAATTATTATGACTTAATGACCAAACAGAAAGTTATTTATCACCTTTATAAATCACCTTTTTACTTAAAGGGGCACCTATTTTGCAACAATATTTGAATTTAGGACAAGGAACAAACATGTTATTTATCCTTAAAAGCTCCTAATAATCAGGTGATAGTCAAGGTTCATGAGTTTGTTGATATAAATTCTCTTAATCTGTAATGTTTTACAGTTCCAGAAAAACCTGGACAGATAACTGCCAGTAATATACAGGCAAAGACTCTGACTTTGTCCTGGAATGTAGCAGGTCCCTCACCTGGCAACACAACATACATTATAGAGGTGTATGAAGGGACAGATGACACTGGAACAAACTTTATCCTGAAACAACCAAAACGGTACACATATGGTTGGTATCAAAGTTTTTTTTATTAAATGATGTACAATTCGGCAAAGGTTCATGATTTTTACTATGTGTATTTTTTATTTTAGAATGTGCCAACAAATAATTATGTTCAAAACATAAAGTTACCAGTTTTTGCCACCCAACTCACTAATGTTTATAAATAAGAAAAAAATAAAAGTTTTGCCAATGATCCTTTTGAAGTCCTTGAACAAGATTTGTTTGAAGTGTATAAAGGGTCTTAAACTGGAAAAAATCAGAATCTACTTCAACCTTTTTTTTACATCTTAATTTAGGTTTCCAACAGAAGTCATTGTCCATAATTGAACTGGAGGAATACTGGCCGTACAAGTTTAAAGTTATTGCTGCTACAGTTAAAGGGACCAGTGAATCAGATGTATCAGATATTGTCAGAACAAAACAAGCAGGTTTGTCTTTCATTTAGTACTGCTTACATAATTATTCTCTACTCTGTAAATAAATTCTTGGTTTAGACTATCAATTTATATATAAGGTAAGTACAATATACATGACTGTATAACATTTGGAATTTATCTGACATGAATTAAATGCAATGTTAGTGCTATTCTCTCTGAGGCACCTGAGTCTTACCAGTTGACATAATATTCCCAGGTAGATCAATTCAGATTTATTTCTCAGTTTCAAGTCTGGTATGGCCACAATAATTTTATAGGGAGTTAGACATTCCGAATTTGTTTTGATTTACATTTATTCAAATTACTGAACTTGAGGTAAAGGCGGAGCTAGTTTCTTCTTAGGGTTAATCATATTATATTGTTATTAAATAGCATCCAAGTGGATTTTGGATTTAGATTTGGATATGGATTTTGATTTGGTTATGTCCTAACCTCTTTGAGGCGTCAATGTTTACATATATATATTGCTATTCTTTTCTGTTTTTTTTTTTTTTTGTTTGCATATAGCACCAGGACAAGTGGAAAACTTGACTGTCAATATAAAAGAAGGGAACTACAGAGAAGCATATGCATATTGGAATATTCCATCATTGAGGAACCGCAATGGTGTCTTAGAAAACTATCATTTCACAATCACAAATCAAGGGGTAATTAGTTTGACATACTTACATGATTATTTAAAAGATAATTTTTTTTAATTCACATGTACTGAAGACTTCAGATTTCATCAAATTTAAGAAAATGCCAGTTGTTAGACTTCATTTCTTGACAAAGTATTGCATACAGTCAGGCTACACATAATCCATTTGTCAATGTCCACATTACTACATGTACTAACATCTTTCTAGATGAAACTATTTTGCAGAACAAACGTTTGAGTAACCAAGTATTAAAAATTGACCAATTTGACATCACTATTAAACAAGGAAGGGATTTAACTGCAGTCTTCATCTTAGATTAAAATATTTGACATTCTTTCTTTGATAGACCGAGAATTTAACAGGAACAATTCCAGTCTCCCTCTCAATACAACGTGTTGAACAAAATTTTACTGTTGTACCAGAGGAAACATATACTGTAACAGTAAGTCATAATCAAAAAATCTTTTTTAATTAAATTTCCTTTGAAATCATTTAGACTTCAATTTCTTTATATTACATGTATTGCTTATTCACATTTAGGGATTTCATGATGATATAAATTAAAGGCTGTTTATATGCCCTTTCATGAATACTGCCTGGAGTACATAGACTAGTGGTTGTCATGTCCATCTTCCATTCTATCGTCTGTCCTAGCCTGTTTTTAGCTTTTAACCAACTGCAATTTAAAAAAAATATAATTCATTGATTGTCAAGATATTTTAAACTTCATATGCTTATACATATTAAATGCACTATATTATTACCATATCTTGATGCTTAATTAGTGAGAGGCATTCAACTTCAGCAATATCTTTACTTTTTTTGTCCTTAACTCTAATTTTCTTTCAATATTTTTTTTATTAATTAAGCCTTATATTTAAATACTAGTAAATGATATAGAGTTTTATAAAGTAATATAATTGTTATGTATATCATTATAAATTACATGTATATTATTCAACAATTATTATATTTCAAAGACAATTAATTAAGACGGTTTTCCTTGTTTTAAAGGTGTATGTCACTAATAATGAGAGTATGTCAAGTAAGGAAGCTCTACATACCTATAAAATACCTGCTGGCCGTGAGTATTCTTGTGCTCTCTTATTAAAGTTTATTATGCCCTTCCATGAATATGGTCGCGGCATATAGTGTTTGTCATGTCTGTATTTCGTCCTTCCATCACACTTTGCATTTATCTCTATTCAAAGCTCAATTTCAAAGAAACTATCCAAGATATTTTCATCAAACTTCATATGCTGATACATTTAGATATTGATGAGAGCTATGCAACTGCATCAACATTTTTTATACCCCCGAAGATTGGGGGGGTATATAGGAATCACCTTGTCCGTCTTTCTGAGCTGTCCGTCTGTCTGTGCAAACGTGTCCGGTCCATAACTTTCTTACGGAGGGACATTAGAAATTACTACTCCACACAAAGATTGCCCATGACCTAAGGGTGTGTCACGAACTTTACCCAAGGTCGTTTAGGGAATTTCAAGGTCACTGGAAGAAAAATTTCATAATTCTTGTCTGGTCCATTAGTGATGGAACGATTGTCGGCGACAATCGATTGTCGGTCGTTAGAAGCTCTTTGATGCTACTAATCGATTATAAAATAAATGTCGCCGACATCGCTAACAAAAAATAAAATTGTCATACTTACCAAATCCAAGTGCAAAGAGCATAAAAGTAGTGATGAACATTGAAAACATGGAAGGATCCCGTGTCTTGCTGATACTTTTTACCACCATGATTAAATATGGGGTTAGACTAATACCAGGAAACAGTAATATTGCAAGTAAAGAAAACATAATTAGTCTTTTCAATCTTTAAACGTAATTATAATCATAAATACAAGTCTAACTTCTGGATAATTACTTTTAAAACTTGCAATTTTAACTAATCAAAACTAATTTTAAGACATAAATACCTACATGTATTAAATGAAAGGTGGGACTAATATCAGTAAAATACCCATTGCATGGACTTTATAAAAAAAAAAAATAAATCCTATATTGTTTAAAGTAAACAAAATATTATTTTCCACTTTTTAAAAAAAGATATTTCAATAAACTTTTTTGAATATTTTATGTAAGTAAATGGTTTTTTAGTAAAAGTCTGACAGAAATCTGAATAAGTTTTAACTTTTCTGTATTAATTTCATTAAAGTTCACAATTTCGATTATAATTGATTATTAATCGATTATGCCCAGCCGATTATTACCGATAATAGATTATGATTTTTTTCCAATTCCCCATCACTATGGTCCATATCTTTCTTATGGATAAAGTTGGTAGGTTCTCATTTCCTAAAAAGATTGCCCATGACCCAAGGGTGTGTCATGACCTTGACCTTGACCCAAGGTCATTTGGGGAAGTTCAAGGTCACTGAAAGAAAAATTGAATAATTCGTGTCCGGTCCATAACTTTCTTATGGATAAACTTAGTAGGTTTTCATTTCACACAAAGATTGCCCTTGACCTAAGGGTGTGTCATGACCTTGACCCAAGGTCATTTGGGGAACATCAAGGTCACGAAGAAAAATTTCATAATTTGTGTCCGGTCTTTATCTTTCTTATGGACAAATTTAATAGGTTCTCATTTCACACAAAGATTGCCCATGATGTTGGGGTGTGTCATGACCTTGACCCAAGGTCATTTGCGGAAGTTCAAGGTCACTGGAAGAAATAAATTTCATAATTTGTGTCTGGTCCACATCTTTTTTATGGATAAAGTTGGTAGGTTCTCATTTCATGCAAATATTGCCCATGATGTTAGGGTGGGTCATTACCTTGACCCAAGGTCTTTTGGGGAACTCAGGGCTCTCGATTCTCTATAATTGGGGCCGATATTCGGCCCCATTCCCAACGTGAAAAAGGTACCTTTCTTCCCAAATTTAAGGGTAAAAATTCCCAATTTATGATTGCTTCAAATTTATTACTGTAACAAAAAAAAAGCATATCTTTGACAGTCGTAAAAGCACTGTTAAGATATGAAGGAAAGACGTTCGTGTTATGAACTGGTAGTTTGTTTTATATGCTGGAACCAGTTTAGTATGAAAACGAAAGCCGTCTGTAGTAAAGTAGGTACTTGTTCATTCACAACATGTCGCAGAATGTGAAGATCTATGATGTCAGGGCTCGAAATCAATGGAAAATACTCTTTGAATGAGAATTAGAATAAAAAATTGCGAGTTAAAAGCGACCTGTGTTCGCCACCTTTTGTGAGAAAAAAAAAGGTCTTGTAAAAAATTCAGATTACCAAGACTGAATGAGAAGCACTAGGCCTACAGGTATTTTATTCACTATTTTGCTTTTAGATTCCCTAACAATTTAAAAAAAAGTAGGTACCATGCTCCTACAGTTTATAAATCCCCATAATCTTATCCATTTTGCAGCGCTACCTGTCTTATACACTGTAATTTACTTCCAAAAACGATCGTTTTTTTTAATCCGAATTTCCTCCACTCCTTTCTTTATGGTAAATACAATCAGATACAATGTAACGTTAGATATTCCATTAAATTATTTACAATCTCTAAAACAACTTGAGTAAGAAAGTTATGTAATTTTCCAAAAAATATATCCCCAGTGTATTTAATGATTTAATTTTAAATTTATAAAGATGATTTTTTTTAATTAATCAACTGATTTACTCTGTATCTGTTCAGATTTCATCTGTAATAAAACGGCCTAAATGATTCCAAGAGGTTAATTATTATTATTTTTTAAAATAAATTATTTAAATCTTATATGAATCACTATAAGGAGAAAAAAATGCTAGGAAAAGTTCAAAATTACAATTTGATAGTAAAAATAAATCTGCTGATATTTACTACAGTGGTCAAAAAGTTCAATTTGACCCCTGCAGTACTGTTGTCAGTGTAGAAAAAATATTTCTACTAAGAGCAAGACGACAATGATGTAAGTTTAAATTATGACTGGTAAAAATTTCCCAATTTTTATAGAAACGTCGCATTTTTCCCAATTTCAATGGCCCCGGCCCCAGTACCAAAAATGGGTGTGAGAGCCCTGGAACTTCAAGGTCACTGGAAGAAAAATTGTATAGTTCATGTCCGGTCCATATATTTATTATGGAAAAACTTGGTAGGTTCTCATTTTACACAAAGATTTTCGATATCCAAGGGTGTGTCATGACCTTGACCCAAGGTCATTTGGGGAACTTCAAGGTCACTGGAAGAAAAATTTCATAATTTCCATATCTTTCTTATGGAAAAATTTAGCAGGTTCTCATTTCACACAAGGATTGCCCATGATGTTAGGGTGTGTCATGACCTTGACCTTAGGTCATTTGGGGAAGTTCAAGGTCACTGGGAGGAAAATTTCATAATTTGTGTCCGTTCCATATCTTTCTTATGGATAAACTTGGTAGGTTCTCATTTCACACAAAGATTGCCCATGACCCAAGGGTGTGTAATTACCTTGACCTAAGGTCATTTGGGGAAGTTCAAGGTCACTGGAAGAAAAATTTCATAATTTGTGTCCGGTCCATATCTTTCTTATGGATAAACTTAGTAGGTTCTCATTTCACACAAAGATTGCCCATGATGTTAGGGTGTGTCTTGACCTTGACCCAGGGTCATTTGGGAAATTTCAAGGTCACTGGAAGAAAAATTTCATAATTCATGTGTGATACATATTTTTATTATGGAAAAACTTACTTCTGAAAAACCCAGCGGGGGGTATTTTGTCCCGTTTGGACAGTTCTAGTTTACTTTGATCTTTCCTTTCACCTTGACCTCACTTTTCTTAAGTTAGTGCATAGCTCAGTTTTAAACATACCATTCAAGATATTGTTATCAAACTTCACATGTTGATACAAACTGATGAGAGCTATTCAACTGCATCACCATTTTTGACCTTGACCTTTCTTTTGACCTTGACCTCACTTTTGTTTAATTAGTGTTTGACCTTGACCACATTTAAATGAGTGTTTAGCTCACTTTTTTAAAGAAACCATCCAAGATGTTTTTATCAAACTTAATACGCTGATATTTACTGATGAGGGCTATTCAATTGCATCAACATGACCTTGACCTTGACATAACTTTTCTTAAATTAGTTTCAAACTTCATATGCTGATACATACTGATGTAAGCAATTCAACTGCATCAACATTTTTGACTTTGACCCTTCATTTGACCTCACCTTTATCAAATTGTGTTTAAGACAGTTTTAAAGAAATCATTCAAGATTTTTCTAATCAAACTTTATATGTTGATACATATTGATGAGGGATATGCAACTGCATCAACATTTTTTAACTTTGCTTTTACCTTGATCTCACATTAATTACTAAATTGATGTAAGCATTTAAGCTATGTCAACATTTTTTACCTTAACCTTTCATATGACCTTGACCTCACTCTATCAAATTGGCATAATTCAATTTTAAAGAAACCATTTTTAATAATTTTCTACTTCATATGCAGATACATACTGATCTTTTCAAATGCATCAACATTTTTATCGTTTTTGACCTGGACCTTACTTTAAAGAAATTAGTGTCAAACCTCATATGGTGATACATACTGATTTAAGCAATTTAACTGCATCATTTTTCAAGGTATTCTAATCAAATTTCATACAAATTATCATGTTGCATTACTAATATACCCTCGGCAGGGCATTCATTCATGGACATATTTCTAGTTTTGATTTATGAAATTAGACAATTTCATTGTAAGCATTGAATTTTTTCTCATCTGAGCTGAATGATCGTGTGCTATTTTGGTCATATTTTGTCTGGCGTACTAGTCTTTATTCCAATTGTTAAATTTTTCACATCCTTGACTTCAGAACCATTAAGTCGATTTCATCTAAACTTACCTCAAAGCATTCTTGGGTTAACAGAATGTTTGTATAAATAAAGGGGCCAATGTTTTCTTCGAAGGGGAGATAATTATGATTGTGTGGAAAATTATTGGCATCTTTCAGAATTAAATCTTCTTAATTTTACAGATGATATGATTAATTTTCATCCATTTTATGACATAACTTCTATTTATTCACTTTCACCTTAGAATATTTCATAAAGCAGTAGAATGAAATCATCCTCATTTTCTCCACTACTAGGTCCTCCCATAGACAACAATGTAGAATTGATAAGTACTGTACCAGGTCAACATAAGTCTTCACAGCAAACCATCACAGTAGAACTTAACACAGATTTCTTCAGAAATGATTTAAACGGAAAACAAGTTCTATTTGGAATAACTGTGTGTGAAGAATCTAAATGTACTGGTAAGTAAAACTCATCACAATCTTAATTGATATAGATATGTATTAGATATATAATATTTAAATTTTATTTGAATTCTTTGCAATTTTAGATCAAGGATCATTAAGTATGAAAGAAAATTGGGAAGGGCTACCAAACTGGCATGATGCCAGTAAAAATGGATTTCCATTATACAGAGTCACAAATCAAACGTACATGGACAAAATCAAGAATGGAGGTACTTCTCTTACCTATAAATAAATATTTTGTTTTCTTGATTTTTTATGCTAACACACATCTGTTTCTATCTATCCAAGGTGTTAATAATGTTGCCAAATTTAATAAGGGAAGACATGTTGCAAAATTTAATAAGGGAAGATATATTTTAAACTTTCGATTCTGTGGTCTCACTCCTTTAGATCCTGACACAGACACCAGATATTTCTATACTTCCACCAGTTATATATATATAAAAATAAAGGGTTAATTAAGGAATGAAGCTTATAAAAATTTTGTTATACGATATCAGATAATTTGGGGCAGTTTACGCTTTATAAACTGCAAAGCGCTTTTAAGAAAAAGCGTAAACTGCCTCAAGTTATGTTATATCGAAAAACAGTTGAAATAAGCTAAATATATAAAATATAAATATAATTTAATTTCAGTGTTCACAATTAAACAATTTTTCCTCTGCAAAAAGGCTTCATATGTAGCATATTTTAAAAGTAACGTCAAGTGGTGTAATATGTTTTTAGGTCACCTGAGTAAACTCAGGTGACCTATTGCTGTCTGTTTGCGTCCGTCGTCGTGCGACGTCCGTCATGCGTTAACATTTGAAAATTTTCAGCTTCTTCTCTGCAACCACTGAACCAATTTCAACCAAATTTAGCACAAAGCATCTATGGATGAAGGGGAACAAAAATTGTGAATTTCATGATCCCTGCCCCCCTGGGGCCTGAGGGGTGGGGCCAAAACCACTAAAATTAATGCAATCTTTAAAAATCTTCTTCTTTTCTTCTAGACATCAAGCAGTCAAACTGTTTGCATGATTGTAATCAGCAATGAGTCCTCTACCAAAATTGTGAAATTCATGGCCTTGGGGTCAGGGGTTCTAGTGCTAGGGCAGGGCTAAATAAGTAGGTAGTGAAAATGCATTATTTCTTTGAAAATCTTCTTCTCTGCTCCTGGGTATTAAATAAACCAAATAAGTACATAGTTATAATGAGCAAGAGTGCCTCTACCAAAATTGTGAATTTTATGGCCCCAGGGTCAGGGATTCTGGTGTTAGGGCGGGGCACTATTGATTATATATGAAAATACATGAATTCTTTGAAAATCTTCTTCTCTGCTCCTGGGTATTAAATAAACTAACTAAGTACATAGTTATGATGAGCAAGAGTGCCTCTACCAAAATTGTGAATTTTATGGCCCCAGGGTCAGGGGTTTTTGTTTTAGGGTGGGGCTCTAATGATTATATAGTGAAATGCAAGAATTCTTTGAACATCTTTTTCTTTCCTCCTGGTTAATATACTAATTATATAATTACATATTTAAGGCCAGGATTTATTTTATTTTCAGTTTTACAAACCCTCCACTCAAGGTTTTGAATTTTCAGAAAAAAATGAACAATTTTTTTTCTTTCCGATGTCAAATTTGAGTCGGGATCAAGATTTCAAATTTATGAACTCGCACTTACGGTTTTAAGATGAAACGGCGGGTAAATAAAGCTAGATCTGAGAAGAAAGCTTGGTTTAGTGTAAAATTCATCGATACGAGAGCCATTCAAAACGTTTCACCCGTTCAAAGGACAAATAAAATGCTGACGACTTTGTTGCACAATGACAGGGTGGTGAGATAATTTTGTTTTCGTTTCAAAAGTATCTGTCTGTAAATTATTTTCCTCCCCAAGGTTTTAAACTGCCCGTGGTAGCTATTGCATATTGCCAGCGACATTGTTGGGAAGTTTCTAGTATGCCGGTCCCCAGAATCACGCGATTGCACATGAGCAGTTATTTCCCCTGCCGTTGCTATGCAGAATGTAAACAAACCGCAATTTCCCACTCGCTTCAACAAAACGCATCCGATCGAGTGATTAGGGTTAGGTTATATAGGCCTAGTTTTCAAAATTGGGGTTGTTTTATAAATCCACTCTGTAGGCTAATCTTTCTGACTTAGGGCTAATTTATGTAATTTTTGCTCACAAAAGGCACTATATGAGTGCCTTTAGTGACCAAAAACTTGCATGGATCAGCCTGTCGAATCGTGCCGATATCTTACACTTTGGTTTAGTTCATGAAATTTTTGCTTTACAAAGAACAGGAAAGTTTAAGAAATGAAAGTTCGGGTAAATCAACTCTATTGTCGAAATATGACGATTTTCAGCGCTAAGTTTAGGCAAGTTATTGTAAAAGCGACTTACCATTAACTGCAGCTCGATATCCTTACCTCCTAATCATGTCCAAATATTAAGAATATTTTTCCTTTCAAATCGATAATGATGCACAATTCAATCCATTGATGATAAGTAATTAGCTAACATTTGTTAAATCCCTGTATTTCTCACAAAAATCACGCAATTTTAATAGCATTGCACTTTGAGTCCTATCAGGCATTTCTTCATTAGGGCCCCGCAAGGATTTGCGGGTGCCCTATAGTAATCACTCTGTCTGTCCGTCCGTCTGTCTGTCTGTCTGTCTGTCTGTCCGTCTGTCACTCTTCCGTCCACAAATTTTCTGTTTTTTTCTAATAACTTTTTTTTTGGTTGCCCAATCAAGTTCAAATTTGGTATGGTAGTTCAGTAGGCAGAAATACATATTTTGATGCTAAGTTTGGTTCTCCATGTCTTCTGGTTTGGAGCTGGGGTGGTGGGGTAGATTCCTTAACTATGCATAAGAATGAATGGGCAACTTTTTTATGGTTGCCCAATCAAGTACAAATTTGGTAAGGTAGTTCAGTAGGCAGAAATACATATTTTGATGCTAAGTTTGGTTCTCTATGTCCCCTGGTTTGGAGCTGGGGTGGTGGGGTAGATTCCTTAACTTTATACAAGAATGCATTGGCAAAGAGAGATAACTGCTGAAGATGTTCCCATTGTAATCTGAATGCTTCTATGAGTCCCTTGGGATTAATTAGCTTTCCTCCTGAAGAAAATCCAGAGCATTATCTTTATCTGTCACATTGAGATGAATTACCACCTCTGTCTGCAAATGAAGTTTGTTTTGAAGTTAAGTCAATTTGGAATGCTACGAACACTCTGAAATGTGGATTTAAATATAAATTTTTATAATTTATTTTTGTTTAATAGTTATGATTTCATTGAATTCTAAAAACAAGAAATAGATTAAAGAAGATTTTTTTTGATTTACTTTTTTTCATTTTATGTTAATTCAACAATATTAATAATTTTTAAGGTAGTTGTATAAAAACCCCATTCTATCATTAATACAAAAAAGTTCTTATTGTAACTTTAGAAGAAAATGATGAGAGAGGTACAGTTAATCCCTTGGGATTAATTATCTAGCCTGCTGCAGAAAATTTAGTAGGCTTTTCTTTGTCTGTCACTTTAAGATTAATGAAAACCTTTGTCTTCAACTGCTGTTTGTTTGAAGTTAAGGTCAAGCCTTCAAGATATTTGCATTCATTGAAGGCTGGCATTTTATATAACACAAGCTTCATAATTGTTTAAATATACATTCAATGTTAAGTTGTTCTTTACTGCCAAATGTAAATACAAGGATATTATTTTCAGGTTTTTGAATATTCAGGAATTATCATGAAAATTTAAGAATACAGTTTCTGTTGCTTATTCTACGTACATTTTTTAATCATTCCATAAGCTGCACCCTTTTAATTCTACCCCATGGCGGGGCCCTTGCTGACGGGTCAATTTTCTAGTTACGTCAAAACACAAGTGACGCATCTCATGAATATTTATGAGATTACGTCAAAAATTGATCATGTGGCTACATTCCTAAACAACGCAAGATGGAGATTTACTTCCTAAACAAGTACGTTTTTTTACGAAAGCTTTTAATTCTCATTTAAAAAACTGTGTTTAAAAACCAGTTTTTTTAAACTCAATTTTTCACAAGGAACACGAATTTGGGGTCAAATTTGCAATTTGTGGCTTCTTTTTCGATTTTGTCGATCGCTCACGCGATCGTCTATATATTGTACACCGCCTTCGGCGGCACCTATTTTAGCGCCATATTTATGGGGACCGGTATACTAGAAGTGTTCCACATTGTTTAGGTCTCTGTTATAGCTTACAGTCTAAGTATCATTCTTCAGAAAAGGGTTGCTTATGCATCAGTAGATATAATGTTCTATCGTTAAAATGATATTGTCCTACGGACCCAGTTTAACGATAGATGTAATGAATAAAACTATGGGAGAAGTTAAGTCCATTTGAGGAAGAAATAAACAATAACCCGAAGAAATAAAAAAAAAAATCAACTATTAAAAGGTAAGAATATACAAATATATACAGGCATGTAGTATCAGTTCATTTGTATCAGCCAGAAAAATTATTTTACACTTAATTGAAAAAATGTTCACCCTACTCCGCAATACTCCCTGTCTGCTTTATGATAGGAATTATAATTTTAGGCATCAAGTAAATTTTAGAACAATGTCTACACATTCACCTAACACATATTAAAAACATAGGTAATCAGAGATTACAGAGCTCACCTCAACGAATGTTGTCTTTAAGTAAGGCAAAGTCACACAATTAACCAACAAAAAGTATACATTCCAAAAATGAAAATATTTTTAAAAGCGATTTTGATCTGATACTTTGAAATAGACCTACATAAAAAATTTAAACTACTTCTTCTTCATGAAAATGTAATGAAAATCCAGCATCTGAAGCAATTTTGAGAGTTTTCATCTCTTGATGCAGCATTTGTGCAAGTTTGGTTTATACAATGTTATAAGCCTTATAGTTTTTGGTAATAGAACTGCAACCATAACTTTTACCTTGTCTATTATCTGAAAAATGTATGTCCAATTCAGCATCCGAAGCAAGTCCATTAGTGTGCATCCTTAGATGTATCATCCATGCAAGTTTGCTCATTATAGGGCTCATAGTTTATTGGAAATGAAACATGCATCAAAACTAACATTTTCACTCATCCACAAAAAGTAGGTCAGATTCAGCATCCGAAGCAAGCCTGGAAGTATGCATCCTTAGATGTATCATCTATGCAAGATTGGTCATTAAAGAACTCATAGTTCCTTGGAAATGAAACCTGCACCAAAAACTTTTAACTAATCACTCAACCGGAAAATGTAGGTCAGATTCAGCATCCGAAGCAAGCCTGGTAGTGTGCCGCGATCCTTAGATGTATCATCCATGCAAGTTTGGTCAACATAGGGCTTAAAGTTACTTGCAAATGAAACCTGCACCAACAACATTAACCTGTTCGCTCAACTGGAAAATGTAGGTCAGATTCAGCATCCGAAGCAAGCCCGGTAGTATGCATCCTTAGATGTATCATCCATGCAAGTTTGGTCAACATAGGGCGTATAGTTACTTTGAAATGAAACCTGCACCAAAAACTTTAACCTGTTCACTCAACTGGAAAATGTAGGTCAGATTCAGCATCCGAAGCAAGCCCGGTAGTATGCATCCTTAGATGTATCATCCATGCAAGTTTGGTCAACATAGGGCTTATAGTTACTTGGAAATGAAACCTGCACCAAAATTTTAACCTGTTCACTCAACCAGAAAATGTAGGTCAGATTCAGCATCCGAAGCAAGCCTGGTAGTGTGCATCCTTAGATGTATCATCCATGCAAGTTTGGTCAACATAGGGCTTAGAGTTACTTGGAAATGAAACCTGCACCAAAAACTTTAACCTGTTCGCTCAACCGGAAAATGTAGGTCAGATTCAGCATCCGAAGCAAGCCCGGTAGTATGCATCCTTAGATGTATCATCCATGCAAGTTTGGTCAACATAGGGCTTATAGTTACTTGGAAATGAAACCCACACCAAAAACTGCACCAAAAATGTTAACCTGCTCCAAAAACATTAACCTGGTAATTCCTTTGCTGAAATTGCAGCATCTGAAACTTTGTCTGGTATAATAAAACACACTAAAACCATCTTCCATGCATGTCTAATCAGTATAGGACACAGAAGTAATTAAAAAGAAAACTGCTCCAAAAAACTTAACCTTAACCTGGGACGCCGACGCCGACGCCGAGGGTATCACATAAGCTCCCCCCAACTTCGTTGAGGTGAGCTAAAAATGAAGATATATTGAAAGACTTTTAAAGAATTGATTTTTTAAAATATATTTTGACCAACATCACAGAATTTATATAACTGGCCCAAACTGGCAGATGATGAAATAAGCAATTAAATGTTCTACTTTCCTATTTGTTTTAAAGCATTATGTGTCCAGTGGTAAGGAGCCTATTTGAATAGCATAAAAAAAGAATGTACAAATGTTAATAATTGATTTATCAAAAAAAAAATTTTATTTCCTTCTCCTTCGGGACTTCTTTATTCTCACGTTCATAACTAAACCTAAGCATAAAAAAAAATGCTGGCCTTATAATGAAGAAAGGGGCCTCTTTCAAAATAGATAATTTCAGGGCCGCTGGGTCAGGGGTACCAGGCGGGTACTTTGACTAAAAATAAATTAATGCTTTGAAATCTGCCCTTTGATAAGCAATGGTTCCTCCTTCAAATTTGTGAATTTCATGGCTTTTGGATTAAAACACGAACCAAATACAATCGCTGGAAAGTTGTTACATGATACTCAGGTGACCTATAAGGCCCGTGGGCCTCTTGTTGTGGTAACTCATTGTGATGCATCGTCGGAAACCCACGGGTGATCTCGTCTTTACTTATCACCCGTGGGCAAACTCGCTGAAATATCGCCGTAAAATATGCTAATTTGTTGTTTTTAGTCAACCAATCAGAAAGTTGGAACTCTTCAATTTTGAAAAATATGTTTATTACTTTGCTATTTATGGTAAATATTTTGACGCTCGTTAAAACCTGCGAAGTTTGATTTAAAACAATGAAAGTCAATTCGTACAGGTCACTGACATTAATATCCTTCAGATATTATGAAGGAGTACTTCAGATTTATCAGCTGTGTTAACTACGGAATGAGTTTTTCATGATGTTTTTGGCAATGCTGAACATGCATATGTAACGTGAACTGTGATTTGTTGTTTCGCATCGCGACTCTGTGATGCGGCCAATCAAATGACCCATGCATATTTAATTACATACGACGATTTTTCGGTGAGTTTGCCCACGGGTGATAAGTAAAAGATGAGATCACCCGTGGGTTTCTGACGATGATTGTGATGTAGCGAAGTTATTGTAGACAAAATTGATCAAATCTTTTACCCGATCAAATGATATACGTGTTACAACTAAAATTAAATTAGTCATCTTTAATTAAGGCTTCATATTTTTGTAGGATCCAGAAGGAAAAGATCAACATTATCAGAATTTACCATTGGACAAGATACAGAATGTTTCTCAAAGGGTTCTAATGTATACTGCAATGGTCCTCTTAATTCTGGGCAATCATACAGGTATGGGCTCTTCTGTTCAAATAAAAGTCAAAATATTAAAAACAATGCAAGTCTTGTTAGTTCTTACTTTTCAATCTTGCAGAAATTGACCAGGGATCAATTTCAATGTAATACATGTATTGTAAATTTCTCATTTTTTGCGAGTACTTATTATCTTGAAATAGCTCTTTAACCTCAAATCACGAGAATAATTATTAGCAAATGAACGATTTATCAAGAGAGTTTACATGTATTTTAGCATCATAAAAATAAAAAAGAGTACCCCGGTAATTTAATTTTGTGAGTAATGCTTCTTGCAAAATTACCCTATCATTAATTCCTCTCTAATAATTAGGTATCTACAGTTCCTAATTATTAGAGAGGAATTAATTATTGGGTAATTTCGCAAGAAGCATTACTCGCAAAACTAAATTACTCGTTTGTATTTTTATGATGCTAAAATACATGTAAACATTTAAGAAATAAACAACGTTATTCAGTGAACATGTTCAACAGTTAACACTAACCTGTGCAACAGTTGTAAATTTCTTTCAAATGGTCACTATGTTGCATACATCCATCATTCTACACAGAGGACAAATTCTGATGTTGCAAATGAATAAAAAAATCTGGAGGATAAAGACCATTTACAAATTCTGTTCAGCTTCAATTTATTACCATTAAACAGATACTTCTTTATTGAAAGAGGCAAAGATTTTTTTTTTATTTTGGAGGAAAAAATAAATAGATCCTCCTGCAGTACAGTGTATAATTGATCAATTAAAATAGTTTTCATAATTTATGTGATCTTTAAAATTGTAATAATCATGTGAACTTTAAGTAGATGTAAACATGTTATGTAAACCAATTTTGTATAATTCTAGGGTGATTTTATTTGCCTGTACAAATGGAGGATGCACACACTCGGTGCAATATGGGCCATATTCCACAATTAAAATAATAGGTATGTATTCAGCCTTTGTTTAGCTACATGTAGCTAACTTGCATAGCTAAAGTAGGGGAAGCTTAAAATTTTGACAAAAGACTATTTCCTGTAGAACCTATAAGCCTTCACTTAAATTCATATTTCATTGAAAAGCCAATTTTTATTAAAAAAAATTGTTGTGAGGTTAATTCTAGCTCAATTTCCATGATTTTTGCACTGAATCATGCATTGTTCAAATTCAAAAATGATAAACAAAATGATACATGCATCATTGAGAATAAATTATGAAATTGTGAAGACAATAATTTCTAACCAAAAATTACTATGATTTCTTAACAAATTGGAGAAAAATTTTAATTTCGCACTTGACCTGTGAAATCACTGCAATGCCTACTGATAAAATTATTTTGAAATAATGTGAAGAAACTGCAAAGAATTCAACATTTTATGATGTTTTAGTCAATAATAAAAAACAAGCAACAAATAATGTAGTAATATTTTAGAAAAATGCAGTTTTCAATGATATATATATATATATATATATATATATATATATATATATATATATATATATATATATATATATATATATATATATAATAGTGGAAAAATGAAATTATGACTCGCTTATTGCCAGGTTCTGCACTTTGGGATGCTGAATCTTGCATATATTTTTGATGATTGAACAGAAAAAAATAATTTGGAGAAAGTCTATTTTCAATTAAAATTCTTTCCCAGACAAACATTTGTCAAGCATCAAGGATTGCAAACTGTATTAATTTGTTAATGCAAACAACGATCAGTACCTGTTTTGAACATAAATGCATAAGGATTTACACATTAAAATAAGATTTAAACTAATATGTTTCTAATAACTATCATATTGATGTACCACAATGAATTCCTACTCGCTGTAAAATAAGTAAATTTTATTTGTATTACATGTATATGGACCATTTATTAATGTCAATTACTAAAAGGTTATAAAGTCAGGATAATCATCATTGATATGTCATAATGAACCAAGTACTGTGTATCATAGAAGCTACACAAACTCAATGGTAGATATTAAGTGGAGGACTGCCCAGTAATAAAAGAGTTTACCAATTTAGGATCAACGATTTTAAATTTTCATGAAAAGAGCCTTAAGTTATTTAGTTATGATTGGTTACTTGTCAAATTATTTTTTTAGTTGAATTATAATGTTAGAATGGATTTGACATTGTCTACTGTAGTTGAAGAAAAATTCCCTGTGGGAGCTGTTGTAGGAGGGGTGGTCGCTGTAATTGCTGCCGTTCTCGTCGTCATTATAGCTGTGGTGGTTAGTAAACGACGAAGGTAAACATTAAATATATACAGTATTAAATAACATTATTTTTTTTATTTAGAAGATTCAGAAGTAATACATAAAAAGGTAAAAGAAAGGTAATATATTCAATGATAATTGACAAAAAATTTTCATCAAATCCTTTATTCCACCCTTCTCCTTTTATTACAGTGTCTTAAAAAAGAAAAAGTAAATTATTATTTACACAATTTACACGAGCATCGAATGTTGATAATACAGTTTTCTGATCACAAAATTTTAAAAAAGAAAGCCCTGTGATAATATATTCACTTTCACAATTGTAAAAGGTATACTATTGTTTATATATTTTTGTAAAGAAAATGTCTTCCTCTATTTTCCTTCCCCTTTTCACCTGTCAAGATATTCAAAAATATATACACTGTATTCTGTGCAAAAAAAAAAAAAAGAACACACACAGATAAGAAATACCCCCAGTAATTTCAATTTTGTCACCAATGCCTTCACATTTTTGTTAATTGTACTTCTGAGCTTCAGGGCTTTGTACTGTATTGAATTTTAATATGTACTCGCTGAATTACATTGAATTCAATTTATACGCTGACAAATATTTTAGAAATTTAATTGTTAAAAGAATTAAGATAGGGCTGCAGTAGAAAGGCAAAATTTTGCTTGAGATTGTATTTTATTTAAAAAAAAATTAATGTTTTTACTATATTATTTCATAAAATGATAAAATTAAAGAAAAATTTATGCACTGTTTATATACCTCTCATATATATATCTTATCTACTGCATTAACAATTTTTTTATCAATAATTTTTACTTGACAAGAAAAAAAATAGAAATAAAGTTGACAGTCACCAAAGTAATTTATTAATTTTTTAGAAAGTTAAGTTTCTTTTATTTAGGTTAGGTACAACTTCCAAGTACACAGAAAAATTGGAAACAGTTGTTGATATGGAAGACCCAGTTCCTAAAAATATCCCCAGGAAAAGGTACAATTTAAAATGTTGTTAACAACCCCAACACTTTTATATGCATGCAATGAGGCTGTTTTCAATTTTCACTGTAAGTTAACCTTCTTGGATCAGTTTTAAGATACGTAAATTATATTGCTTTTATGTACTTTGAATAACATTTTTTTTATCAATGAGACTTATTTATCAATTTTTTTTGTTAGACCAATTCGGCTACGAGAGCTGGCAGACAAGGTAGCAGAGAAACACAAGGACAGTAATCTTTATTTTGCCCGAGAGTACGAGGATCTGAAAACACTGAGTGCTAAACACGCAACGGAGATGTCGGAACTGGACAGTAACAAGCTAAAAAACAGATACGTCAATATTCTGCCTTGTACGTACTAAAATCTGTATCATTAATATCCTTCTGTGTACATGCTAAATGTATTGTAATAATTTAATTTTGTTTGTATTCTAGTCTATTATTGGTTGATTTCCAAAAAGGAATGTAAATTATTTCTCAATAACCTGGTTTGGTGTGGGGACACACCCCCTTGACAACCAGCTGAATCATCTGTATCCATGCAATCCCCTCATTTCCAGTCCTTGGGATTCATGGAAAATTCCAGATTTAATAAATGTACCTTTAACTTCAAAGAGTAGCTCAATCTTACCTCATGTAAACAAACATCATGGCTGCTAGATCTGTGTATCAGTTATTACCTCCCCTTGTTTCATATCATTTCTGTTACTAGGGATGTATTATTGAGCGGAAAATTTGAACTCATAAAAAGCAGCACAATTTTACACCCACGGTTGTTTAATTATTTTAAAATTAAATTATAAGGAATGACTCTAATTCTTGGCCAGATTATTCGATTATAACCTGGTTTGGGTCAGTTTACGCTTTTTTATAATCCGCTTCGCGGATTATAAGTATCCTACCAGGTTATAATCAAATAATTTGTCCAAAAATTAGAGTCATTCCTTGATTAATTAAGGTTACTTTCCTTGAAACTCATTTTTTCAATTTCAAGTTCAATTTATTCACTCATATATTAATAAAATGTTGAAATGTTTTCTTCAGTTTACTTTTGCTTCAGTGCCAGTTTAAATGAATGTTGTATATTTAAGTTACACAATTCAGCTATGTAAATGTGAGCTATAAATTAAAAATGTTACTTTTGTGTTTAGTTGACGTGACTCGAGTGAAGTTACAGCTGACAGAAGATGATGATCCGTCTACAGATTTCATCAACGCCAATTATCTACCTGTATGTGATAATGTTATCATCAAGTCAAAAATGTTTTCAATCTTGTATTACATATGTTAAAATTATGATGATCATCAAACCTACCATAGACAAAGATTCTGACAATTTATTGAATTTTGTTAACTACTCTCAAAAAAGAAATTAAAGCAGGGAAAATTTGCCATCAAAAGAAAATGTTTACTTCATGACATTCAGTTTCCATTAATGTGAATACTCTTGTGATATTCTAATGTTATTGTATAATTAATTTATAATTGACAGGGTTACAAGTCAGAGAGAGAGTACATTGCCACTCAGGGCCCAATTCCTGGAACTATTGATGATTTCTGGAGAATGATTTGGGAACAGAATGTATCTATCATTGTCATGTTAACGCTCTGTAAAGAAGAAGGCAGGGTAGGTTAAACGTTATACATATAACAATATACAGAATGTGTCTATACATATAGAGATAAACAGAATGTTTCTATCATTGTGTTGTTAACACTGTATAAATAGGAGGGCAGGGTAGGTATACATTAGTGGCAGCCAGAATTCTAAGATTTAAAGATACTAAGGAAAAAGAACTTGGTACTTCTCACAACACACTGTAATATATCTATGTTTGAAGTTTAAGTGTAGATCTTTTAAATTATTTTATTGTTTTGGAGGTCCGTGTTTGCTCTGCTCCTGTTTTGTATTGTTTTATGGATTTTTGATCTTGAATAATGTTTGCCATCTCCATATGTTTCATTTGTAAATAAATATGATTACTAACAATCCATCTGTAGAATTTTGCATCAGTTGTATGGATTGAAAATTAGTAAATTTAGATTTATAAAAAAAACACTTTATTTTACCAGGTGAAATGTGAGATGTACTGGCCAGAAAATGTTAAAGAACCAAAGCAGTACGGAGATTTAGTGGTGGAGACCGTCTCATGTTCCACCGTCAACTTCTACGACTTCAGAATCTTCAAGATTAAATTGGTAATTACAATTCCACAGAATTCTTTTGTTACATTCTTACAGTGCTTTATGTATTTTATTCAAGCTGGCCAATTATTGACTATTTTTCTTTCAGTTTATAAAATAGCAATTATGCTTGTAATTCCTTGAGTGGAATAACTGTAGGAATGTTCCTATATTGAAAACATGCATTCTGAAGATAACTAATATAAAATTTTTATCAAAAGAGATGGAGTATTATATGTGATGCTTTTTTTTCTTTTTAGGGAGATACTACGCGGACCCTGAAACATTTCCATTTCCTACAGTGGAAAGATTTCTCAGCGAATGTTCAAAATGATGTCATGATTGATTTCATTAAAAATGTGAGGAACCACATCCGCCCTCCAGACATGAACGGTCCTGTCGTGGTCCACTGTAGGTAAGTATAAATAATGAAAAAAATGCTCGGGGATCTTTTTTCATAAAGATCTTCATGATTTCCAATTTAAAGAAAGTTGCAGGTAAATGTGTATTTTGGGTTTTTTTAACATTGTGTAAGGTAAACAAAACAGTAGACTTCATTGATTCGTGTTTTTTTATGGAGAAGTAGAGAGGACTGGCACCTACTGTGCTCTGGATTCTCTGTTTCTGTTTGTTAATTATATACTTCATTGGTATGTGTTTTTTATGTTTTCCACACTGCTGGAGTTGGGAGGACTGGGACATATTGTGCTCTAGATCACCTGTTTCTGTATATTAATGATATACTTATTTTTTTTCTCATTTCTTTGTTTTTCTCAGTGCGGGAGTTGGGAGGACTGGGACCTATTGTGCCCTAGATCACCTGTTTCAGGTCATAGATGAACATGACCTTGACCACTCCATTGACATATTTGACCTTGTCCTGAATCTCAGAGAGCACCGCATGTTCATGGTCCAGACAGAGGTTTGATTTATTATTGGTCTTGAAATTTTAGCAATAATATAAAAATGAAAGTGATTTAATTTTCTAATTCAAAAAGCAAAAAAATAATACTGCAATTGTGATGAATTTAAAGGAGAATTGAGGTATTAGGATTGAGATTATTATTATCGATAATAAGAATTAATCAGAATTTATATGTTTATTTTAATGATTTGATTATAGTCTGATCAATATAAACCTTTCGATTCAGCAACAATATGTGTTTATCCATGATTGTGTTCGTGATTACGTGGAAAGAAAGAGAAAAGAAATGCAAGGAGATCTTCTCTATGAAAATGTCAACAGAGCGTTTGGTAAGATACTAATGTAAGATACTAATGGTGTGGTGTGTGTTTTACAGCAACAATACATTTTCATCCATGATTGTCTGAAGGACTATCTTGAGAGAAAACTAAAACAAGAGCAGGGGGGAGATGAATGTCTGTACGAAAACCAGGCGTTTGGTGAGATGTCGTTATTAAAAAAGCATGCATACAAATTGCAACAGGAACCCTCTCCCTTCTCTGATTCATAAATTTTTACCATCTCTGCATTTTGCATGCTGTTATGCTGAAAGAATGACTTTTAATAAACTGTTTTATACAGATATTATGCATGAAAAAGCAAAGAAAAACATCAACAAATAGATTTTAAAAAACAATTGATTTTACTTGAAGTACATTATTATGCAGATTAAAATCTAATTATAACTAGATCATATATCGAAATTGCTTTAACAAAGAATGAAATACAAGCTTACTGCATTACATTACCTTTCTCCTCCTTCATTTTATCCAAGCTGATTAAAACCATTTTATGCAGGTACCTTCTATTACTTCTATTACTTTGTAATTATGTGAAAGTAAACAGCAAAATGTATTTTTAAGATAAAAGGAGTTTATAAATAATACTTTGATATATATTATATTAAAATAATGATTTGTGAATTTAAAGACAATTGGAATTTAAATGCCTTTAGGCAATTTGCATGGTGTGTAAGCATAATACTTGCAAAGATGCTTGAGCTATATTATTTTTTTCTTTTCAGGGAATTTATCTGTTAGACTTTATTAAAAATCTAGTTATAAAATCTAATGAAGGAATTTGCCCAACAATTTATTTAATGGATCTCTCAGATGCATTCTTAAATTAATAAGTCCCAGATTGAAAAAATTGGTGTCTTCTAGCTATTCCCACTTTTTCAAAATCTCAATTCCACCTATTCCCACTTGCAAATAACAATAGATTTTTTTTTTTTTGTACATTTAAAGACAAAAATAAAAATTGCTATATTTTTTTGGATTTTTGAAATAATAAAAAGATCTTACAAGAAATAGCTTACCTAAATTTAAGAACATAGTTAATTATTTGTTTAATATATATAAACCTTTTTTTTTAAAATACAAAATATAATTGTTATATTTTTAAAGAATCTAATAAAACATGTCAAACAAATGGAATGTAGAAATAAAACAAGTAAAAAAGAAATATAAAAGTTGTTAGCTATAAAAATGTAATGAAGACTTGATGTAAATTTGACTTTATAACAATCAATTAAAAGATGTTCATTATTAAGTACAGTTTAGAAAAAAATGTGATTATTTGAGAGAAATGTGTAATACAGAAATTTATGGATATAAAATTATATGATATATTCTTATTGTCAATTTTCCAACTTTAAAAGTGGCACATGTAGGCATATAGTAATGAGTCTGTTACTTTGGGGTACACATCTCTAATCCACAACTCCTCCTTAATGTCATTTTAATGCTGGAATAACAGGCACCTGAGGCTACTTATTGTCCCCCGCTTTCGCGAAAGCGAGGGGACATTAAATCTCATTCGTCTGTCAGTCTGTCCGTCTGTCAGTCTGTCCGTCACAAAAACTTTAACCTTGCCCATAACTTTTGATTTAGTAGAGTTATGACTTTCATATTTCACATGTGTATTCCTTGTGACAAGACCTTTCTTTGGGTACCACCAAATTTGACCTTTTGACCTTGACCTTGGAGTTTGACCCACTTTTACACAGAAATTTCAAACTTTTACTTTGGCCACAACTTTTGAATGGAAGGTACTAGGACTTTCATTTTTCACAAATGTATTGTTTGTGGCAAGACCTTTCATTGGATACCAACAACCTTGACCTTTTGACCTTGACCTTGGAGATTTACGTACTTATGAAAAAACGTTAACCTTGACCATAAGTTTTGAACGGTAAGAACTAAGGCTTTTTTACTTCACATATGTAATCCTTGTGAGAAGACCTTTTATTGGATACCAAGAACTTTTACCCTTTGACCTTGACCTTGGAGTTTTAACTACTTTTTAAAAACTTTAACCTTGGTCACAACTTTTAAACAGTAGATACTAGGACTTTTACATTTCACATATGTATTTCTTTTGCAAGACATTTTATTGGATACCAACAACCTTGACCTTTTGACCTTGACCTTGGAGATTTACATACTTATGAAAAAACTTTTACCTTGACCATAACTTTTGAACGGTGAGGGCTAGGGCTTTCGTACTTCACATATGTAATCTTTTTGAGAAGACCTTTCATTGGATACCAACAACTTTTACCCTTTGACCTTGACATTAGAGTTTTAACTACTTTTAAAAAAACTTTAACTTTGGTCACAACTTTTGAACGGTAGATACTAGGACTTTTATATTTCACATATGTATTCTTTGTGACAAGTCTTTTCATTGGATATCAAACATTCTGAAATTTTGACCTTGACCTTAAAGATTTACATTCTTATGTAAAAACTTGACCACAACTTTTGAACGGTAAGAGCTAGGGCTTTCATACTTCACATATGTAATCCTTGTGAGAAAACCTTTCATCAACAACTTTGACCCTTTGATCTTGACCTTGGAGTTGACCTACTCTTGAAAAACGTTAACTTTGGCCATAACTTTTTAACGGTCAGGATAAGGGTTTTCATCCTTCAAAAAAATCAACTTCAATGATAATTTCTAAGAATTGACTAATGAAATGATGTTCAAATTAGACACAATATGTCATAGAAATAACATTCCACCAACAAAGACACCGAAAGCGGGGGACCACAATTCTTTGAATTTGCTTGTTTTTCTTATATTGTAGTTGACTAATTGTAATATCAAGTCTCATGTTTTTTAAAATTAAAAATGTAAGAAGTAGATTAATTTTGATTTATATTTACATATATTTTAATTAGTTTAACTGTAATTTGTAGTTGCTGACGACCCAGCAGAGGAATCTTTGTATCAAAACTACAGCAACCAGAGAACGGACCTATAAAGGGAGATAAATCCTAAGTCTCAAAGGGACATCACTCCCACTACTTTTTAAACATTGTGCTTCCAAGAGGATCTTATTTTTTGAGAAATCAAATATTTATCTTTACTATAATGGTTCATGATTGTTTACAAATCATTTTTTTTTTCAGTACAATCATAAATGATTTATTGACTGTGATCAACATTCCTTATTGTGATTTTAAGTGTGATTTCATTTGACCATTCATTATTTTTGGGGGAAAAACTTATTTATATATCAAAGATACTTATTTTGTTCATTCCAACTTTGTGCACTTTCGCATTCGCATTCTAGACATTTGTATGTCTATATTTTTTTCATTAAGACGTTTCTATATATTTTGAAGTTATGTTTTCTTTATGTTCATGGATGAAAAAGAGCTTTCTTTTTAACAAATGGATTTAGAATCTTTTAAAACTTTATGATATAAAATACATGACTGTATATGACTTTTATACATTAGAACAGTTTTTTGATGAGTTCAGTTTTAAAAATGCAACGAAATCCTTGTGATTTTACAAATGTCATCTGCTGCCAGTATGTGTGTTGAGATCATTTGTAGTCTATACTACACACAAATGCTAGAAAACAGTATATTAGTATAGTTAAACATGTACAGGTATATAACTATCATTTAAAAATTTTATGACTAACCAGAATACTTAGTATTTATAGAAATATGCCATACTTGTGACATGAAAAATGATATTTGACATGTACATTTATTTAAATTAATTTACATAAATTAAGGTGGATGGGACTTTTCTGAACTGTATATCTTCTTTTTTATTTGGTTACTAGTGCTTTACCATTTTGTCACATGGAATGGAAAAAAGGATATTTTTAAGCACATGTACATCAGTTTGGCTTCGTATGCACTTGTATGATTTTTAATCGAGATGTTCTAATTAATTTATACATGTCAAAAGTTAATGTGGAACCAGAACTGGGGAGAATTCTACATTTTATGAATGCACTGCATTAATTTGTCCATTTTACATGAAAATTAAATTTTTTATCATTGATGTAAACTTTCATTATTTTCAAAAAAGCATTCCTGTTAAGCCCAGTACATTTACATATTCAATAAAATATATACTAACACACAGTTTATATACAAGTATGTTATAGAACAGTAATGGCATAATATACATTTTGGGGGAGTTTATTATTTTTTGAAAAATACGTTTATATTTCAAATTGTATGAATTGGACAGCAAAGGTCTAAATGCCTTGCATTATTAGATGCCATATATTGTATACATTCCATTTCTAACTGTTCTCATGTGTTTTTTTCTATTTTTTTTAATTTGGACCAGAGAGTCTGAGGCCAATTTGAAAATTGTGCATCTTATCAAGATCTGAGTTGTGTATTTTGGTGAATATACTTTGTTATTTGTAAGGTGCTCCTTAAGCCTTATATAAATTGAAGCTAAATGTGTTAGTGAAATGATTTATATTTTGTACCAATAGTCTCATACCAGTTTAAAGGTGTGTATTTCATTGAGATGAAGGTTATTTTTGTGGTTTGTCAATTTTAAGCTTCACTAAAACTTAAAACACATGAATCAAATTTGAGTTAGTGATCTATATTCTATAGCTTTAAAGGGTGCATATTGATTATTAAAGATTTTATATCTACATTTGTTTTTATGTGAATTTAAAGGTTTTGTGATTATAGAACTATATTGATACGGTATTACAATCCTTATTATTTATGATACTATATTTTGATGTGCTTTTCCTTGATATAAAATAAATATTCCTACTTCTTTATTGTTATTAGGTTGTGAAATATTACTTTCTTTTTTCCCTTACCTGTGAAGAAAAATGTAATCTTATTTACTTTTGTTAAACAGAGCTTTACTTTTTTTGTATCTCACAATATTTAGTAATTTTATTAGGTTGAATTAAACTATGTGACTTGTAATAAATGAAATTGGAACATTAATTTAATAAGGTACTTTTTGAAAGAGTTTACATATCTGATCTCCAGATACAACGATTATTATGTTCTTTATTTCTATAAATATCCTACTAATTATTTTTATACCCAAACTAAGTGCACATATATGATAGGAAATAAAAGTTTTTATTAAAGAGTTTCTGTACTTGTTATTTATTACTCCTGTTTACAAAGGAAGATAACTCTGACATGACCCGTCCACAGTTTCCCGGGATACTTTTATGTTCAGGTGTCTATAGAAACTGGAGATAACCCACATTTCCTTCTGAACAGCTGACCTGCCTCTAATATCCACTTTTTGCAAACTGTAAAATAGTACCGGTAGATTAATTTCACATTTAGTTTTAGAAGTTGATATGTCTAGTAAGTTGACATGCATGTCTTTAAAAAAAAATTTCCGATAAATTTTCTGTCCAATTTGTTATATCTTTAAAAAAAAAATGACTAAATAATCCGAGGAACGGAAGAAACTTCCGAAACAACCGTTTTTTGTGTAAAAATATAAATTTAGAATATTCTCTGAAATATTGTTTTCTTAATTCTACTTTGTTCTTGTATATCTGACTTCGTTTGAAATACATTATGAATGTGATTTCTTATTTTATTTAAATCAGATTCACCTTAACCCTGGCTATAAACTAATCAAAATTACATTTATGGATGTGAAAATATTGTTCCTTACTGATATTAAATGCACAGAGTACAAACCATACTACTTGGATTACCGTTAATTTAGTTTTAATCGTACAAACCAAATTTGGATCCTTTCGCCACTGGACATTCAGCATTAAGACTTCTCTGATCTTTATCGTTGTTTCGCTTTATATTGTACCAAAATAATGCTGCTCCCTTAAATTGTAAACCATGGCAAATCACTTATGTCATGAAAGTATTAGCAATTTTATAGTTTGCATAAATGCTTGTACATGTATTGTAATGGAAATAACGTACCTTGATAACAGGTACCCTGACTCGGATCTCAGGAAACACCGTGGCCCCTCCCCTCTCTACATCTGATAACTGATAAAGAATTCAATGTAAGAATTTGTAAGTTTAATATCAAGGACAAGCAACCCTCACAGATAAAGAAAACAAACTTTTCATGTCAATTGCATCAAAGAGTAATAATTAATTAATATAATTATATACTTGCATAAAACACCCAAGTAGCTACACGGTCACCAGACATGCGAATGCTTCTCTCTTCTTTCTTTTGGTATTCCCCTAAAGAAATGTTCTATAAATAAGCAAATATAAAGTGTAAATTCCATAGACAAATATGTGTGAAAAGAAATGACTGTTTATTTTTCTTTCTTTTTGCGAAGAGATAAAGTCATTCAATTCTTTCTTTGTAAAGACTGCGTTTGTATAATATATTTGTAAATAAATTACATGACTTGTCCAACTCTACTGATTGAATTAATAAATTAAAGATGCTGAAAATAGTGACGCAGAAAAACAACCGAAACATTAAATATTAGATTTGTATAAATTACCAAGAAATCCACATGTGGTTTCTGCATTCCACCTACACCAAAGTTGTTGATCTATAAAGTCAAAAAATAGCATGTAAACTCCCATAATGATAGATAGGCCTAGAGAATCATCAGTTTAATTCAATGTGACTGCTTTTTCGAGTGAGCCTGGATTTAGACAGCACCTCGTAATTTTCGGAATCGGAGTAAGATCTGGACACGTGTGTGGACAGTCCCGTGATGAGCTGAATTCTTCTGGTCAGTGGAACCACGGCTTTCGTCTTTAGTTCCGACAACCAGGACCTGACAAAACAAAATAGTCTAATTTCAAATGTCCGATATTGTGGAGACATTTATCAATAGCTATACATTTAATGACTCAGTACCTCTGCTAAAATTTAATTCGAATAATAATTTATTTTATAATATAACGAAAACAGCATAACATATATTTTTTTTATTTTGTACAAGAGAATTAGAAAGTACATGAATAAGACTTACGTTGCTAAGACGTCCTCATTTTCATCAATAGTAGAATCTTTAGAGTATCTCCTTGTCAACTGAATCAATTAAATACAAATATTGATATATATACCACTTACTTATAGATCCACTAACTGAAAACTTCAAAATTAAATGAGAATTAAAACAATGAAATTTATAAATGAATTCAAATGTCTTAATTGTTGATACTTTTCTTTTACAAATAACTTGATGTTTATTCTAGAAAATTTTTTCCGAGAAGAGTTTTTTGGTTGTTTTTTTTTTTAAAGAATGAAATATACAAAATTTGACTTATAAATTGGAAAATTTAAAATTCATAGAAAAGAGTAAGAAAATTAATAAACAAATAGATTTGTTTGTTAAAAGAAATATTTACTTGAAAAACTGAACTTTTGAGAACCATGTCAATCTCTCGATCAGAAATGACGTCATGAAACAGAGAAATTCTGGGATCATGATGAAATATTTCCTCTTTTGACCAGTATATGGGAATGAGGGTTCTTCTGTGATTGCAATTCAATTTGGACAATTCTTTTGGAGACTGAAAAAACATCATAATTAACATGTATATTTCACTACATAGATAGGCTTTTTTTTCCGAAAAATTCTTACAATGGCATGCCATTTCACTCTATATTGGGATTGTGGAAAATGATAATATCGGCTTTTATGATGCTTTGTATACGCTTAATATGATCATTACAATAATTTAAAAACAAATTTTGTTACTGTGTATTTTATTTATTAATTCACAAAGGTAGAATTGTTATTTGTTGTTAGCATAAAGGTGAACAAATTTGTCAATAATTCAGTAAGGCAACAATGGAGAAAAAGTAAACAGCACTTCATTCAGCTCTTTATGTACATCCTCTTTTGATTAGAATTTCATATAAATATATCATATTTGCTTTTTTTTACTGGGAATTTTCTGCTTTGTCAAGTAAAATTTTCAGTAAAAATCTTTATAAAAGTGTAGAAAAATGTAAATACATGACTTTATAAAATGTTATCAAATCCTTATACAATCTCATGTACAGTATATCTACGTTTGTACTTTAAGCTCCCATGAAAAGTGAATATGGTTTTCACCTACACATCTAAAGTATTGATTTTTAATATTCAATTAATTATAATTGTAATTTAGTTTTCACAGAAGAGTGTATCAAACCTGGCCATAACCTTCCAATGTTTATTTTATTTCGAAATAAATTGTTTAAATTGCTCGATCTCCCTTTTTAAAGATTTTGTCAAATCAAATTTTACCAAGGTCACATATATATAGAAATAACAAATTATGACTGACAAGACGAAATAAACGGTACTGATGGAGCATAATAATAGAAAAAATGTCTTCAACTATTTTATCTACCTTGATCTCCCCTCTACACAGTGCTTCATAAGAGGGTTTGTCTGATTCTGGAGCAGTGAGGGTCTTGGTTACGTTAACGTCAGGGTGTTTTAGACAGTAATCGTAAGCCGCAGTCAGTGTCTGATCACCTAACCAAATGACAAAATAAAGGAGTAAAAATTAATGATCAACTAACAAAAAAGCAGAATAGACGACGCGAGCTTAGTGATGAACCGAGAAAAAATTGCTTTCCCTTCATCACATTTCTGGTTCTCTCTCTCTGCCTCCCTCTCTGTCTCTCTCTTTCTCTCTCTCTCTCTCCCTCTCTCTCTCTCTCTCTCTCTCTCAACGATCATTTTAGTTTCTATTTCTTCTCTCTCTGCCTCTCTCTCTCTCTCTTTCACTCTCTCTCTCTCTCAAAAGCAAACCAGCCTTTGAAAGCAATAAGGTTTCATTGGGGACAAAAGTATTTATATACAATCATATTTACAAACTTTCTTTGAATCTACAAAGAGAACTACTATCAAAATCTTTGAGCAAACAAATGTGAAATGTTCATAATATTTGTTTTTTATTATCACTGATATCACTGATATATTTATTAAAACAGGATTAGTTTCAGATAAAGAAATTAAATAGTGTAAGCTTTGAGATTGATTTTCTTCCAATTTGATAAGTTAGTATATTTATCAATGTAACAAACGTGTTATGAATCTGATTTATCGATTGGAATATTCCAACAGACAGGTTTCAATATCAATTTCATATACCAAACAAAAATGTGCCAAAAAGTCATCCAAAGTTTATCATTTTCAAGCTTGGTAAATATGAACTGTAATAGGAGTAGCTCTCTTATCATGATATCTGGGTTTGGCTTAAGTCAGGGAGATTACCTAAGGGCAGAAGTGACTCCAAGATGGTCTTTGCAATGTTGATAAATCCATGCTGAAAGCAGTAAGTAATATATAGATAAACACACTGTCACAAAAGACATCAAACATCGGACCTACTTTCATTACAGTGGATTTTAAATTTCAAACTAAATTAAAGTTCTGTTTTATTGACTAGCCTATTTTAATGAGAAAAACGTCAAAAACTGTAAATTGATAATATATCATTAAAATTTTCGAATTCAAACATCGTTTTACATGATTCAGTATTAATGAAAGTAAATAGTAGGTATACTTCAAGAGTAAATCAAATAATTCCAAAACATGATTTTTTAAGAACGCATCAAATGAGGAGAAAACCAATCCAAAACAAACCGTTTACATTTAAATGCAGTTTTTAACACAACTCTCTATCGGGTTCTTGACATGAAACTGAGAGAACATTTTATAAATTTAAACGATATTTCCTATATATTATAAAAATGTCAACATTTCAGTATAATTCATTAATAACTTTAGAATTTCAACAAATTAATGTACTTTAAATTTTGAAACGAAATAAGAACGATAAAATAAAAATGCGTACTCTGTAATAGGCAGATGCCAGCTCAAACAATCCCCCATGGTATAACCGTGTACCTTTCAAGCTATGGACCATTTGAGTTCTCAGTACAATCTCTTCGTAGTAGAACTCGGGGTGCTCCGCCGCGTACATTATCAGTCTGACAACGTCTTTGTGGGTGAGGCCTCTCCCCCGGTACCCCAGGACCTCCCCCTGCATCAGTTTGTTGATGTCCAGTTTGTAGGTGCGCCAGAGCCGGAGGATCCCCCGCATGGTACCGTTCAGATCCCTCATGACTGGGAGTCTGGTGATGTTGTGTAGGGCCGCGTGATGAGCAGCCTTAAAGTCTGTAGTAATGGTTACACACATAAAATTTAATTAAAGGCATAAAACCAGAAATAATATTGGAATTTTTAAGAAAAAATATCAAAGAGAAACTGAATTGTATTTAAACGGTACCTAAATACAATAAAGATAAAAGATTAAACAGAAGTACAATGGCATTTTTCTCATAAACGAAATATGGAAATAACGAACAGAAATCAAGTTAAAAAATTTATTGACACAATACAAATCTGGAGCAGAGTAAACAAGACTGTCTTAAACATTAGAGCTTGGATCGGGTGTCATGGAGTAGAAAGCATTCTTTTTCGACATCGGTTTCCCTTGCCGTGTGGTCCTTCTCAAAATTGGACAAACGTAGAAAAAAACGTTAATAGTAATCTGACAACCAATCTCTATGATAAACGTGATGAATTTAACTTTACAATCGTCAAATTCCCTTACTTATGCAGCAATATACCTTCATCACCTGCATACGGAGTTTATATATCTCAATAGATTCGATACACAAGAGCATGCTCTACGTACATATGAAAAATTTCTGAAACGAGGAAGAATAAGAAGTCTAGTTTAAAGTCATCATTTCGTAAGTTCTATGGTCGATACAATGACCTTGTCAGTAAATGCAATTTATCATTGAGTCAAATGCTGACTGACGTTTTTCATCCTACCGGGTAATTGTTGGTCCATTATTTATACAATGAATTGACGACATATTTTTTCGATATTTCCCGATCATGACAAGGGGCACACAGCGGGTGTGACCTGTCGTTAGGTGATGCTCATTCCTCCATGGTACCTGATCCCACCTCTGATGTTTTGTAGGTTCATGTTTGCTCTGCTCCTATTTTGTATTGTTTAATGAACTTCTGATCTTGAATACAATTCGTTATCTCCTTATGTTTCATTTTAAGGCTTAGAGATAGAAGCAGTTTGAATATTTTCTAACATTACCTTTAATAATCTTTTATTTTGCAATTTCTCATAAATTGAGACCTTGCATCCTTACATTGTACCAATGTGAACACTTTATTATATGTTCTGACTGGACAGATATTTCGGTTTCCCATTGCAAAAATAGACTTTGCCATTATACTCTAATGAGAGCGGGGCGTATCATTTTGTGACGTTAGTGCTCAAAGCAGCTCTAGTTCAGTAGAAATTTTCAATAAATTGTTTTATCTCTAGTACGTAAAAAAAATTGCGAATTTTATTATTCTCATGCAAGCAACTTTTAGTTTCCCTTTGTTTTCTTTTAAATACTACAGACTTTACATACCAACCTTTAACAGCTGTGACTTTTGTACACTTCTTACAGGCGAGTTTTTCAAAGAGATATAACCAATAAAATACGAATCTTTCTACCAAGTGATAGGTGTTGATTGGATGACGGATGTCATGTGACACATCTTTCTTGTTTGAAATAATTGCTTCGGTTTCATTTATAAATCTGGAATGTAGTACATTTCATTAGCTTAATATAAAATGAAATTAAACTTTAACATGTTTAATTAAAGATATACCTTTCATGATTACTTATTGAAGATTAAAAGCATGTATGCAAACCTTACGATGTTGGCTGGGACTCCCAAAGGTTGAGCATCTACATACTTCTTAATTCCAGCCAGTAGAGCGGGCTCGTACTTGGCCAGCTCTTCCAGCCTATGGACCGAGAGATACAGATCACTGATAACCAAAGTTATTCCCCAAAAAGACAGAAAGACAAGGAAAGTTAAATGCCCGTATTTCATATTTGACCATGAATCTAGCTAGCATATATTTTACAACATGTAAGTATAAAGCTATACTTGGATCTGATTATTTAATGTTTCATGGTAGATGGTCGCGGCGATATACAGCTGACGAAGGATGGTTATGACATCATATATAACCATTCTAGTCGTCCCTTTTACTACATGTCACATATATGTATAGTCGCTACAATTACTACTATATGCTTCGACGATATAGATTTCTTAGATACATCTTCAATTTTAAAGTTTGTCAAGCAAACAAAAAATAATTTTAAAAAGAACATGAAAACAATTATTTATTATAGACAAATGCAATTACACTATAGGATGCGACTTTTGTAGTGGCATACTCATCCGATTTCGAATTGTTCATCATCAAATATTACTTTATCTAATGAAATATTGAGATAACGCTCAAAATCTATTGAGACATTATAAATCGGGAGCAGAACAAAATTCAATAAACACGGACCTCAAAAATATCGGAAGACAGATCGAGTCCCTTGAAGGTGTGAGTAACCCCTGCCGACCAGTCACACTCGCCATGAAAATAACCAAAGACAATTGAATGTGCAGATAACTGTTTTACAATTGATATGAAAAAACATAAACATTCGACTGTATGATAGATTGGGGTTTACTTGCTGACAAAGTTCTGACAATATTAATAGAACTTGCAAAATAATGACTTCGAATATTAGATTGATATCTTTGATTCTTAAACTTGTTTTTTAATAGCTTAGCATGTTTTAGAAATTGTTCTTACGTAGAGCATGCTCTTACGAGGGCTGTTCAATAGATAATGTCCTCGGTACTCAGAAAGAAGCAAAAGACGCTTTTCAATGATTTAGTCTTCATTATTTTACTTATTAAAAAATCTTTTATTATTCAATACATGTCCGTAACATTTTTCCACTTTCCGATTGTTTTTAAAACTCATCTTTGGGGTATGACCCTTTAACAGCTATGACTTTTGGAAAATGGCAGATCCAGTTTTTCCCGGAAGAGATATAACCAATAATAGGTGTTTTTTTTTCAAGTTTGGAAATAGAATCAAGTCAAAAGGTCAAAGATCTGGCGAATGTTGTTAACGTGAAAAAATTTTAAAATTTTAAAATTTTTGAAATAATTGCTTCAGTCTTCATTTATGCGGATCTGGACGTAGTACATTTCATTAGAAATTAAAATGTAATTAATTTAAAATGGTTCTGGGATATACCTTCCTTTGATAAACCTTTTGATTATTTTGCAAAAAAAATGCTTTCTAGAGTCCTTCAGAAACTAAACTATCTCTCCGAATACGAATTTGAACAACGATTCCACTAATTTTTAAGAAAATTGCATGTACATCTGTCTTTGTGCTCTTGCATATATGTGCTCTTGTCAGACATTCGCCGTTTTTATCAAGTATATCTTATGGTAAATTTTGTATCAAGGGTTTTAAGCAAGAATTACGTAGCATATCTGTTTGAAAATAAAACAAACGTGGATAACTACAATTACTGATATTTTAAAGTAATTGTTACGAATTTCGTATACGCTGTTGTTTTCACTCATTTTTCAAAATATAGGGTGACCTTGGAGTATCAAGCTTTTTTACCGTCAAACGTTTCTTAAAAAACAGTGTAAACTACTCCCGATATGATATTTATCAAATCTGCTATGTGCCATAAAGTCATTCATACATCATCAAATATTATTTGTTGAAATTTGTCGAACAAAAATAATTTTATAATTTTTGTGAAAACAATTATTTATTATGCAAATGCAATTATATAATTTTTTATTATTGAAATCTGCCTGCTCTTTTGTCTATAAAACTGGCATTGGTTGCTGTAAATGTCACATATTTCAGTGAATATCTCTTTGGGATTTTTAACAAGTTTTAAACACGGACCTTTAAAATATGAAGCTTTTATTTTCACTCTAGTTTACTGATTCTTTACCATTCATTTATAATGCAAATAACCAATGACAATTGAATTCCAGATCTTTTTACATGAAACTGATATGAAAAAACATAAACTGTTATATGTTTATGAAAGATTCAATAATGAGAGAAAGTCAAGTTAAATGTCATATGATATCTGTTATGTATGTCACATAGTTCAGGACATTATTTATTAAACAGGCCTCGTATAATCAAATCAACAGAAAAATAGTAACCCAATATGCAAGGTAAAAGGGTATATTGCTTAGGGTATATTGCTAGCAAATTTAGAAAATGGACAATTGAAAAATGGAAGTCATCTTATTTAACATAAGGTTTTGTTGTTAGATTAACATAAACATTAAAATTACGGCAGTAAACGAACAGTTTTCGAGCTCAGAAGTCATTTCACACAATACAAATTTTGGTGCAGAGCAAAAACTCACCTAAAAATCATCAGATATGGAATCAGGTGCCATGGAAGAGTGACTATCACATGCCCACAATTCACACTCGTCGTATGCTACTTGTCATGAACGGGGGAAAGTTCATTGACAATTCAGTGCCAATTCAATTTCAATGATAGATTGTATTTGCTGATAATTAATTTGATGACTTCTTTTTTTTCAAGTAAAATATACATATAGATGTGTCAGACTTTGTTGTACAGTGTATCTTTTATTTTAAATTTACTGGGATAAATCGAGTTAAAAATGAGAATATCTATTATTAAATAAATTTATAATGCATCGTCGATGTAGTGGTATCTTAATGTCCTGTTTTGGAATAAGTTATGCTTCATTTGTATAAAAAATCAAACTGAGGTTTTAGTTCTGTAAAGTGAAAAAATATCTTTTACAAAGTAGAACGTAACAAATCTGTACAATTAAAAAAATCACTTTAATGATCGTTACAAAAGGTTATATACAAATTAATTTCTTTGAGATCGGAGATATAAAACAATACTAGTATGACTGGTCTTGATAATAATTTACTCCTCATACGAGTATGTACGAGGGCTGTTCAATAAATAGTGTCCTCGGCGCTCTAAAAGAAGCAAAAGACGCTTCTCAATGATTTAGTCTCATTAATTTAACTTAGACATTTTCTTTGAATTAAAACACATGTCCGTAACATTTTTATCCAATTTCTGATTGTTTTTAGAACTCATTTTTGAGTATGGCCCTTCGTATACTGGATTAGCAGATCCTATGATTTCCTGGACTTGTTTCCTCTTTCTGAAAGGTGTTTTTTTTTATAGTTTTGAAAATGAACCAAGTCAAAGGGTGACAGATCTGGCGAATATTATTGTGTGACAAAATATTACCTTTCGATTTATCACCAAATCTACTTTACTCTTCATGGCGTGTGGGTTTGGACGCTGTCCAATTTAATGTGGATTCCTCATTCTAGTTCCTTCCTCTCAGAAACCTTTCGATTTTTTTGCAAAAGTGTTGCTTTCTAGACTCCTCGGGAAATTGACTTCCCGAATAATAATTTGAACAACAAGACCACTAATATTTAAGAAAATGGCACATATAACTGTCTTTGTCCTCTTGTACTTCATTGCTCTTCTCGGACATTGGCTGTTTTTATCAAGTGAATCTTATTGTAAGAATGTTTCGAGGGTAATAAAGCAATGGATTCAAGTGTAGTTGTCTGTTTGAATTTCAGACAAACGTGGATAACTACAATTTCTGATTTTTTAAAATAATTGTTTAGATATTTTTACAGGGGTCAATTTTACTCATTTTTCAAAACATAGGGTGACCATTGAGTACTTAGCTGTTTTACTGTCAAATGTTTCTTTAAAATAGTGTGAACTACCCTCAAATTGATGCCTATCAAATGTGCTATGTGTTTTTAAGTCAATTAAACATCATAAGTGATATTTTCATGAATTTTGGCAAATAGAACATTGGATGTTGTAAGACCTTGACGCCAAGGATTGTACCCATTTTGATGCCCATTATATCATTATTGTTTATTGAAATCCACCTGCTCATGTGTCTACAGCCATTGGTTGCTGTAAATTTCACAATTTTCAGTGAATATTTCTTTGGGATTCTTATCAAGTTTTACAGCTGCTTAAATGAAGCGTTTATTTTTCACTCTAGTTTACCGATTTTGTATACCATTCATTTTTGAATGCAGTACGAGTCTCGAATAGCCCTTGTTTTCCAGCTTCTCACAATGAAAATATGAGATGAAACGTGGTCATATTAACTGATTTCAATCCATTAAAGATTCAATCATGAGAGAAAGTCAAGTTTAATTTCATATGATATATGTGTTGTATGTCATAGAGTTCAGGACATTATTTATTTAACAACCCTCGTATCATCTGCAGTCAAAAACTTTCTAGTTTCCCCCTCTTGTCTTCATTTCTTAATTCAATTTTCACTCACATTTTCCTTTAAAAAGGATACTAGTAGTATTCTTCAAATGATACATATGGAGATAACTAACAATATTCAAGATTAAAAATCCAGAAAACAATACAAAATAGGAGCAGAGCAAACACGGACCTCCAAAACATCAGAGGTGGGATCGGGTGTCATGGAGGAGTGAGCATCCCCTGCCGACCGGTCATACCTGCCGTGTGCTCCTTGTTATAATCGGGAAATAACGGGAAAACCCGTCTTCAATTCAGTGTATAAATAATGGACTAACAAAAAGGATGATAAAGGTCATTGTATCGAACTTTGGAAAAGATGACTCCAAACGAGACTGTTGATATTCTTAATTCATCAACTTGTTTGTTAATAATTTACCTCGTTTTAGAAATTGTTCGTACGTGGAGCATGCTCCTGCGTATCGAATCAATTGAGATATATATACTCCGTATGCAGGTGATAAAGGTATATTGCTGCATAAGTAAGGGAAGTAGACGATAGAAAAGTCGAAGTCATCACGTTTATCATAGAGCTTGGTTGTTAGACTACATGTACCATTAACGTCTTTTTCAAGAAAAAATATCCAAAATATGAAACATCAGAATGGAAATTACCATTTTTAATTGACGATACGTCGTCGATATATCTAAATGTCGAGTTGAAAGCCAGAGCAAGTGTTTTCTTCTTT